GAATTCTTACTGGAAACGACTGAGTCACATGTGGTCAAAGTAAATGTCAATGATAAAAGAATCAAATTGATATGGTCATATCTGTTATATATGCCCGAAGTCTACGGTACGTTTCAAGTATTTTTCAATCTAAAGGTAAAGTTACCTCAACAATGCCACCTTGGCTCCACACCGTCAACAATATATTCCTTGACAGGAAACATGAAGTTGTGTATGAAGAAGGAAGTCAGCAGACGATGAAGACTACATAGTCACAACAAAGTGAAAATCCTCCTAGCAGAGGGGACCAAAAGTATGTATCTGCAAACGTCACATCACACTGGAACTCGCGAAGTGAATAGCTACATCAAAACCCAGACATTAATGGCCTCCTTCACCGCCTTCAAGAGGTTGAAACAACAGTGAAAACAAAACAAAACTTCGAACACAGCAAGTTACAGCTGAAGAAACTGGACTATGCAAGGCGAATACGGATATAATTTCACCGAAATTGGAAGACGTATAAATGCTCTCTTACGGTTCTGGGAAACACTAAGATTGGGAATGCAGGGCTATAAGGACATGTTTCAGTAAAAAGCAGAAGATAGAACAGTAAAGATAAATACGACTTCGAAGGTCTTGCAGGAGGGATTTTCTTACTTTCTCCCTCAAGCATTTTCTAGAAGGCGTGAACATTTGTTTGTTTCCGACCGTAAGTATCGAAAAAAGGAATTCTTTTGCGAAACTTAGGCACCGCAGAACGCAGTCGTTTCACGGATTTCATGGCATTCAGATATCTTGTGCACTGTGCCATGATGTTAGGGCTGTGGGGGCAAGAACTGAAGTCTCGCTGACCCCCTGATACTCGTCATCTTCCAGCGGAGCATTCATTTTGAAAGGGTTGCCACAAAAACTGTAATCCAGAAGGTTCATTCCGTTTCATGCATCATGGGTTACGCCAAAGATATATGAACCGGAATGAAGTTATTTGCATGTGTGGCTGGTGGCGATACAATCGTATTGACACTTCGCTATCCAGCGTGTGAGTCGAATTTCGACTGTTTCTTTTAGGTGGAACATATATCATATGAACATGTTGGGTACAATGGACTGTGCAGTCAGTAGGAGTTGGACATTTAAGAAGCAGGCATATATTATGAATGGTTAAAGTGGGTTCGAAATTACGTTCAAAGACGTGAGGGCATAACGCATCTAATATTCGACTCAATGAAGTCTTTCAAACCTATATTCCAGGTCTGATGGTAGTATTCAAGACAGCTGACATAGAGAGATTATCTGAAGAACTTAATTTCAGAACCCCCGGAGAATGAGTACTTCTAGGTTCCTGATCCATATAAAACGGCAATTGTATGGTGCCGAATGGCGCATGGAAGACGACTTAAAAATGCCCAAGGCCATCCTAAAAGGTTTCTAAATCACAAGAAAAAGGCAAGCAGGAAGCATCGGACCAAACCTCTAGCCCCAGAAGTAGGTCAGATTGCAGAGTGGAGTTCCATCTGCCTCAGGGAGCGTTTCCACCATGAGACTTAACTAACGATAAACGCACTGGCTGCAGCATATCTACTTTGTCAATGCCTGCTGTGCGTACAGCAATCTTTATTTATTTTGGATACTTTGATCTTGGAAATTCCTATTAATCCTGTTTTCGGGATTTGATGTCAGCCAGTCAGTGTCCCTTTTATTGATAGCTTAACCATTTTTGAGTCTTGATGTGAGAAGGACTCGCTATAACTCCAATTTCAAGTAAAGGTTAAACACTGACGAGATCTCCGGGTGACCTTGAGGGCTAACACTCTGTTTTTCACCAAGCTATCCTGATTATAAGCCGAAGCCCACACGAGACTAATGGAGATAGAATAAAAAAACTGGGAAAATTTGAAGATTTACTGTTAACTGTTTTAATCTAATTCTCTCTACCTCCCAGTCCCTCAAGCCCCAAAACATAGAAAGTCCATTTTTGTATGAGAGTAATGTTTGTAGGTAAAACGTTTGCGAAGTCTTAATGGAGCAGAAAACATTGGTATTTTCACTAGAGTTCGTGAAAACCGAGTTGTTACATTTTGGCTTGCGAGTTCGGTGACATTTCGGCATCGCCACAGTCGAACTCTTAGATTATTGAACCTCCACGTCACAAGGAGATAATGAGCAAACCCCATGTTAGGTTACTAATAAAATATGAGAATAAAATATTTCGTTATAAACAACTCACTTCAGGTTGTGGTTGTAGATTCAACAGAGAACCAGATAAGTAATCCAAGTAGAATTACTGTAATATTTATCACCAGTGGTAGAAATCCAAGGGAAACAGTCTGTTTCACCTGCCTAGGCAGGCAGCGTCGTTTCAACTACAGGCGGCGGCACAGATGGCGATGTCAAAGCCAGGATCGGAAAAGCAGAAAGACACCCATTAATCTGTGGGATCTACTGCACTGCACTGCACTCAGCATAAAGCATGAACAACATACGGATTTTCAACACTAATTCAGTCAAGTCAGTCAGTGCTTCCATGTGATGGTTGAGAGACTTGGAGTGTTACGAAAAGCATTTCGAACACACTACAGACATACATCAACAGCTGCTGCCTACGTTCACTCGATACTGGAGATCAGACGGATGGCCAGAATAATAAGAATAAGTAAGGAACGAGGAAGTCTGGCGACGAACCAACCAAGAGCCGATCGTCCAACAGATATGCAGAAGAAAGTTGAGATGGATTGTATTGGATTGAGCATACACTGAGGAAACCATCCAGAGACATGACGAGCCAGGCCAGTTCGTCGAGTGGAATCCAAATGGGAAATGATGAGTTGGGTGTCCGAGGGCGACATGGAGGAGGTCGTGTGAGGAAGGAATGAAAACTTGTGGTCAGTCGTAAGGGCAAGTCCAAAAGGTGTTGGACGACATAGGGAACTATAGACGCTCTGTTGAAGCTCTATGCTCCGCTGGGAACCCAAGGGACAAATAATAATAATGATAATGGGTTGAGCATGCATTGGAGACATTTTGTATTATACACGCCAAGTGGCCAGCACAAATAGGACACCACCTAAGTGCAGACTTGTGAGAATTCGAGTCCTCATAGAATCGGTCTCGGGTCTTCACACTTTCCTACTGTGCGTGTATGAATCCCGGTCAATATTCGACCGGATAGATTCACGGACATTGGTCCCCGAGTGAAAACTTTACATAAGGTATATTTTATATTCGGACGAATCCCAGTGTTTGAGACAAGAAAATTCCGACGTTTTGCGAGAAAAACTGGTCCAAATTACCGGTAACGTTTAATTTTCTGGTGTTTTTATCTACTGACGATGAAGAACCTGTCCATTGGAAGCGGTGCAATAGACTAAAACCAAGTGATCAACTGGTCCATGGTATTAATATATAACAATCAGCCCCAGCATTCATGAATTTATTCCCTCTGGTCACGTGAATCAGAACTGGACTTTTCAAACTTGTCCCTTTTCTGGGAAGAAAAAAGCTGTAAAGTGCATCTCCATTCAGAAAGCTAGTTAGTGCTTCGAAAAAGTAGCCAGTGAACTTGAGTTGGTTTAAACACTATTTCCAATTTGACCGAAAAGGACACTATAGATCGGCTAAATCCCCCACAGTGCTACCTCAGGAATACAGGCCTGATCTAAAACTAGCATTATATGCCTTCAATAGTGATGGTGATAATGATGCACTTCATCTTTTCCGTACCTTTAAGACTGATTGTCTAGGAGGCCATGACGAGATAGTTCGGAAACAGTTTAGGGGTTTTCCTCCTGCGGACTTGACAGGCGCAGAGGCCAATCGCTAATCATTCGGAAGTGTTATATACCCAAGAATACGAGATTGGGAAGGAATACATTAGCGTAGCCGGACGAAATGGCATATTTGCGAGGTCGGGCCAAGATATCGGTGAGTTCTAACTAACTGGCTGGAGGGTCGGTTACGAGCAGTACAACGTAACACGACAGCGTGTCAGATGGCGAGGATGCCCGACCGGGTGCCTTCGGTTTAAGGAGCCCGGTAAAACTGTCAAGGTCAGCGTCAAAACTAGCAGGCTGTTTTTAATAGAGTTTAATGACATTCCGACTGTACCCCTCAGGACTCGTGAAGTCTCGTGGATATTTTGAGATGTATCAACGTGATGAAGCCTGTGAACTGGCTTCTCCCATGTTAAACTTTTTAATGTGAGAATAAAACACTTATTCATTTACTTATTCATCCATTTTGAATCTCATCGAACCCTAGGCTATTGATTCTGGAGAAGTGCGCGACGCTACAACAGTATAGAATCAACATGGTCTGAACCTGGATTACTCCAGCAGAATATTTTACAGCCAGAAATCGTTCTAGCTTTTTGAATGGTTGTCGACTAAAATAGAAGGGGCTTCTGCATAACTGACGTTCGTGCCTAGAATCGATTGACCCCATGTCCCTGTGTCTCACAACAATGCACCCGATGGGCACAACTGCATGCTACCAGCTATTTCAGGAAACTTACCTACCGGTTGTCCGCATCTCCATCAATATGAATGTCACACCAATTAACCTAGGCCAACTGTTCTACTATTTTTATTCCTGGTTGATTCGTATTTGAGTGGAGTACCGGTTTGACACAGAGGTTAAAAATCAGAAATGGTTAACTGAACAAGCGGCAACAGCTGATTCAGCGACTACCGTCGAGGGTGAACTGTCGTTTCGCTGGGATAATTGCGTTCCATTGAAGACTGAAAACCCAAAGGTCTATAAAGGACCATAAGAGACTAGAGCAACTACTCTCGCCGTTCTACAGGCTAAATAGATAAATATCATGACCAAAAAGAGGACAGATCTACCATTAGCTTAATAAATTGCCCTAGTCTTGAAACCAAAAGTGGAATTGAAGGCTAATGCTGAACGTGATGACTGCATTAAGGTACCAAACGCGGTCAATTTGGTATGCTCAAGGTCGTAAGTGAAGTGATCAGGGCTCGAAGACTTTTCCAAAGCAGTATACGCTTGTAGCACGTATGGAACCAACAGAAGCTGGTGATGAAATCGGTAGGTCGTTGAAAATTTAGAATTATCTTCATAAAATGGCCGTAAGATTTTTTTTTGGATGTTAGTAGCGTTTATGTGTATACACAAGCGTTTACGTTATAGGATTTCGATGGTTGAGCTGTAATATTTCGTCATCCGTGAAAGACTATCAAACGAACTCGAACGCACCAACGGAAAAAGTTATCCCCTTCTAATTTTTAACGCATAAGTAAAATGAAATCACAGTGGAAAGGGTTTAAACGATGTTCCGGTGATTATTTGGGTTTTCGACTCCTACTCCTACATCTTGTAGTAAAAAAAGTACGATAAAAATACCCTTCGGTCTGACTCTACAACATTGTCACTTGAAATGTTATATATACTTAAATAAGCGTTCGGACGGCCCCCTATCACCTAATTATATGTATGAACGGCTTGACGAAGATTCAAGAAATATAGTTTGAGAATAAGCAAAAGACCCCAGGTACATGGAGTCGTGCAACAGGTTAGTCAGTCCGCATCAAATAGGACATGCTATTACTGCATAACAGCTCATCGAGCTAGAAAGTATTAAGACGAAAGAAAGAAATTACGAGGAAAGTAGTTAGAAGTGATGAAAAGTAATCAAAAGACAGCAAGTAGGAAGTGAGACAATACTGAAGTCCATTTCTGCAATTAAGATGAAGATGCAACTGCACCATTAAAATGCAGTTTGAGTTATATCGCATAGTCTCCATCTACTAGTTTTCTTTGTCACGCGAACTTTAGCTGGGAAGTTTCTGTTTCTCTACACGGCTAAGGCCAACAGTCAGACCGCAGGAACTGATACTTCTTATAGTCTGGCTACCTCTAACGTTTTCAAACTCGAACCTACCCCAGCTAGTATTGTGCAACGGGACAGTTTGTGACTTGGCATGTGAAATATCCCAGCTATTTGAATCTACAAAGTTTCACAACCTCATCGACTGATTTTCTTCTTCTTCCTAAAATGCTACTCCTTATTTCTAGGTTGCTGAAGTGGTGACGTCACGAAGCACGGGCTATGCTAGGGAGACAACAGTAGTCAAAGTTGAATTCTTTTCATGACCTCTACCTTAAATGATGTTTAACAGCCATAAAGTAGAATCAACTGCAGGACATTAAACAGTAATAGACAATCGAAAACCATGGATGGCGAGATCCAATGTAACCTTTTTCATCCTTGTGGAGATTTAGTCGGTCACTAAACCATCAGGGCTGACTTAACTTTCCAGGTAATTGAAGTGGTCAGTGTGCTCAGTGACTTCAACCCGTATTGTTAAACAAGGCGCCAATAAAGACCAGTCCTGGAGCAACAATTTCCATTTGGGTGACAAGTGACGCATCCGAAACATTCTGGAGCACTCACTCAAGGTGTCTCGAAGACTGCCTGGTATCAACATCTTCCCCTAGCAGGTCTATAACATCTGCGTACTCCAGGTCTACCAAGGATTCTACTGCGATGAGATCACTTACTGTGAAATCATTTGGGATGGAGAATTCTTTAAGTACGTTTATGACAAAGTTTAATGAGAAAGGAAGGAGTGGGCGTTCTCGACGGACACCATTTAACATACCCAGCTCACCTGATAACTCACCATAGGCCGTCACACGTGCTAGTTAAGGACTTAAGGATTGTAAGGTACGGAACTTGAAATTTATGGCGTAAAGCAGCAGACACAGCGAGTAGGTCTTCTTATAAGCACCATACAGCCACCTTCAACTAGTCTGATCGCTCCAAGGTCACTTGATGGGCACTCAAAGACGGCGAAGTTCTTTAGTTCCATTCTGGATGTGTATACAGTGATAAGTTATGAATCCCGTTCTTACCGTACGTCTGAAACTCTTGGAAGAGAGTCACATCATGCATATCCTCCTTATGTTTACACTTGTTCAATCCAGAAAATATACATAAGATAGTGACTTCGAAAAAGACCCCAACCAACAAACGCTGGGTACGCATATGATACTTTGGATATAACCTTGGAAATACCTCGGGTTCATTTCAGCACTTTTAAAAGCCTTAGGTGACAGTTTTCGTGTGGATTTTGTTGACTTTTGGAACTTCCAGATTTTCTGAGAGAAATGTTGCGGATCCCGAAATGCACTCAAGCTTCTTTTGCTCAAAAATCCTATAATACACCTTAAGTTTTTGCCGACTGAGACAACTAGTAACTAATACTACTGACCAGACCACTCTTGGGACATCACCTTACAACTGACAGGTGCAAGACGTATGCCAAACATGCTCACATTCTGCTCAACACGTCCAGAAGACCCTGCATTTTGTCAGCGCTTCCACCTAGTAGGACAATGTCTTCTGCATACTCCAAGTCAACTAGATGACTTACAGCTAGTAGTTCAGTCCCTGTGAAGTTGGTGAATGCGTAGAAGGCGATTACGAATAGACATCAGTTGGTCTCACGATCCTTTCTAGTCCTTACAAATCCATTCAGTCAAACAGCACATAGATAGTTGTTGACTGGTATGCAGTCGGGATGCGCACTTTCGACCCAACAGCTCAATGCTACGTATACACCAGCAAGTCCATGACAGCTAACCATTGAGTTTCCGGATACCCACAAGGTGAATTTTGAAGGTTCGCTGCACTGGTCAGGTGAGGTCAATTTAATAATCACACTTGGGTCTTGTATACATGTCTTAGAGACACAACATACATTCATAGCCTGAAGTTGCAGAATTTTGGCGAGCAATGCCTACTGTTCTATGCGGCATAGAGTTTGGACGTTGAAAGCTCTTACATGAAATCGATGGTGGGGTCTTAAGTAAGTGACTAGGGATGAGGCTTCGATGGCTTTGATCGCTCATAATGGTCTCAGAATGAGATGTTGGGCAAGGTGTAAGAGGCTTAGTATTAGTATCAGGAGGTGAGGTAAAGGAGGAGACAGAGCGGGGAGGGTAGGTTATGTTTGTTTGGGTTTCTTGTACTATTGGAAGCGTGCGGGCAGTTGACACTTCGTGGCTACACACACGGTTAGAGGCTATTTCTTTTTAATGTACCTAAAAGGGGACGGGTTTTATGCGATAGAAGAGCCTATGGGACATCTGCTTAAGGCCTGTCACACACGGCCTTTTTTGAGTTGTTTTTAGGTTTGGTTGTTCAGACGCCTGAGGGAGAAAACCCATGACGCCGGCACCGTAAGACCGTGGGGTGTGCTGACCTTTTCTAATCCCTGTTTCCATTGGAAAAGGAGCCTCAGTGTGGCACTGTCGGTCATCCAAGGGAAACACTTTACTACTGTCACACGTCATCCAACTAGCAGCAGTACGACTTCGCCCTCGAAACTCCATCATAGTGTGATAATTTGCATTCCGAGGTGACTGATTTCCGTCCTGCCGCTATCCAACAGACCTCTCTGGAATCGTAGGACTTTGAGGTAACAAGTTTTCCAGCCAGTGTAGCTCGTTGGGTCATTGTGATATGCAAGCTCGACCACCACGTCAAGGCAGCAGCTGTCGACTGGGGTAATATCACCTCATGCAGTTATGTATATATGTAGGTTACTTTGGGAAACACATGTATATGTATAATGAACCATGGTTAATAGATGAATAAACTCATGAACAGGTCAGTAGTGATTGTGTTGTGTCCAAACGGGTGAAATGAATGACCGACGTCAACAGTTGAATAGTAGGTTTCGTGTACAGAGGAAAAATGGAGAAGTTACTGAGGAGAATTTCAGCGAAGAATTCCATAGTGAGGGGGATAAATAGGGAATGGCACAGGTAACGAAAAACTTTTGTGACTCGTAAGTGTGATGAATGTAGGGGAATGAGTGAGTGGGAAAACTGGAAGGAAAAGCAAAACGTTGTAAGGAAAGCCCAAAAAGAGTGGAGTTATTACACTTTGTCACCGTTGCCGCTTTCGTTCCACCGAGAAACCCCCTCCTTCGTATCCCATTTTTGCCACATTTTCCCTATTATTATCTACTTGAGTAATTTAGGGCTTGTTTATGGTTAAAATTCAGTAGTTATAAACAGAATCACGAACAAGATTCATCTCAAAGGACAATGTCTAGTGCTCTTGACTGGCTGCTCAAGGGCATTTTGTAAGCCAATTTCATTTTTCTTCAGTTATGACTGTAAACTGAAGTCCACTTCATGGGATGTAACCTCATTACGACTATTTTTTTTTTACCAACCTTGGTTTCGTGAGAACTAAGTAACCTTGCAAGACAAATATTTCTACTTCTTTTAGATGTATTTTAGACCAGTATGCTCCAGTTTGCTTTTGGATTTCTAGAAAATAACCCCGATAACTAAATTTTATGTATCAGTTAGTTTGTTTTTAGCTTTGAGGTAGGTTGCATAGATTTGTGCCGCTATACCGTAGATAAGTTTTAGGGTTGATAATCGGTTAACAGACAGTATGAGAATATGAGAAATAAGAACAAAAACGGAACTTTGGTCAAAATGTGTGAAAGCATATAAAATATGTTCACAGCAGAAAAGTTCCTTAGTAGTTAGTAATGTACAAAAAAGGAGACGAGACAGCTTTAAGATTGATATTCACCAACCACATGCACTTTCGCACAGTAGCCAATGAGCTACATCCTTTGAGTATAGGCTAGTGATACTACTTAGCTGTCTAGACCTCTTAGACGGAGCAGTGTTAAAACTCTTGACCCATTGGTTGGAAGCTGAACGTCTAGATCAACCAACTACAACTCCGCAGTTAATGCAACTCAGCGCGGTACATGTTTATTTACTAGTTTATAAGGCCTACATAATGCATGACGACTTATTATACCATTCGGTTGCTGATGTAAGCAAAGCTGGACTTGAACTCGGGACATTTCTTGGAAATCGATTTCTTACGCAAATGAGTCATATCTCCACTATTTTTTTTAGAAGCGAGTAGTATTTCGAACACATTCTTTCAAGTTAGTATGTAAATATTTTATCTTCTGATATGGTGAACAACTGTTTATGTCTCCAGTATTCTTTGGAAATTAAATTTTTTTTTGTCATGCATCACGCATCACGTGTGAACTCCTTTTACTCCATCATAAGCGATAACTGTTAAGAATCAGGTTCAACTATATAACAGTAGTCTATAAAATCTCTGATCGTTGGTTTGAATTTTTCAGGTATGCGCACGTTCGTTTGTTTAAATCCTCAAAACGGTAAAAGCCGATGATAGAGACTGAATATGATGTAGCTTAAAGTTTTTGGAGTCATGAAAAATGTATTGGCACCCATTGTTCCTATAAATCTTGAACATATTTTATTGCATTAAGGTATTATTTCTTTGTCCTTCTCTTATTGTCGTAATATCAAGTTTGTTAATGTGGACCAGTAAGCAGTTATCTTTAAAAAGATGTTTTTCAAAGTATTGGACGTATTTATCTCCTGAAATATTCAGTTGCTTCATCATTCTGAAAACACCTCGCTTATTTATTGCTTTCAGATTGGGATACGATCCATGACTGGACATACAGATTATTGTGTAGTATTCATTCAGCACAGGAGATTAAAAAGTCTATAGAGATTCTTTTCGAGAAATTTATACAATCAAACTCTGAGGTTTCGGGTATATTAAGTATTTTAATAATCATGTATCTTGCTAATTATAGTTTATACATGTTTTCAAAAGGAGTGTTTTACTTTTATGGATCTTAGTGCTTCAAGAAGGTATTCTGTTATGCAAGTAAGTCATGATATAATTATGATAAAACCAACAGTTTGTTCTCTTGTTAGACCTAGATTTTATATGTGAACGTATTTTAGCTTTATTGTCAAGTAATAACTTGAAGTTGATCAATTGGTCCCACATACTTCAACTTATATCTGTTATGATATGTGTTAAAGGAGGTGTATCCACTATTAAGTGTGAGTTAATTTTTTGATGTTTTAAGAGGTACTGGTGAGTATACAGTATGCATGGTCTTCATAAATGGAATTGTTGAGTATATCTCAAGGTTAGACTCCATATTGATCTGGTTGTATGATCAGGCAGTCCAGTGATCATGTTTTGATCACTTAATTTCTTTAAAAAGCTGCACCAGCCCCGACGAAATGAAACCCAAACTCTTAGTAACCACTTGGATGTTCATGCATCAAGTAATGAGTCACACCTATTGAATGGAGGCTAATAATACTACCTAGCTACCTGAACCTCGGTAGGTGAAGTGGGTTTCGAATCTATGGCGCACTGAACATAAATGGAATGTCTAGACCAATAACCAAAGCCCCAATAAACTTATAATTGAATAAATCTTCGGGTGGATGCAAAGAGTGTATTCAATGTTCGGTGACTTGTACCGTCTACACATTGGTCAAATATCCTAGGGTATCTCAACAGACCAGTTTTCCTTTTATGTCATGATTCATTTTCTTCTAGCACACAGGGATTGAAGGTAGAAGGCATCAAAATTTCAAGCACATTTAATTATGTCCTTTATTGGTACTACTCACGTAGAATAAGACCACGAAGTAAACCGTATAAAACTTCAGAATAAGTGTCTAGGCAAGAAGGTGAGTCACTCAACGAGGTTGTGAGCTTATATTGATGAAGGTGACTGGGTCATGTGTTAGGTAGGGTAGACGAACACTTACCCTGCAGCATCAAGTTAGAGTAAGATTACATTGCAAAGAAACAGGATAGTCATACAAGATTTTAGCTTGAAACTAGGCTATCACTGGCTGTTCATCTGAGCTTTGTACGGAAGTATAGGCTGTCTAACAGGTCTTTCAAATACTGGGTACTGCACAGACTACTATGCAAAAGGAAATATTCGGTTGATGTCCAGTTAACTGAATACAATTCTTAGGTATTTAATAAAGATTTTGATATTTTAATGATCCACTACTTTTAAGTGGTGATTATGCTCATATCTCAGCTGAATATGGAAAGCTATAAAACTGGAGAGTAACCAATTTCAAGTGATCTAGTTCTAAGTGAAGTGCGGAACGAATTCTATCTATCATTTTTCGATGTGGTCATCATGCTAAGGGACTTGCCATGGCGATACACTCTAGCTGAGATTGCTGACGAGTGCCAAGAAGCACGAAACCTGGGTTCGTACTCTCTTATCGAATGACATTCAACCATCTAACATCAATTATGGATAGGTGAATAATTCTAGCTCTCTTTCATTGGGATGTCCGGGGATAGAGAACCCCTCGGTGTTAATAGATGACCGCATCATCATCATAACAGCATATTATTCCCAGTTTATTACAAATGTATTTTAGAATTGCTATATACTCCTAGTTTTGCATAGCTTTTGTCTACTGTTTTACCCGTGACCTTAAAATAATCTACATGGCTGTTTTCGCGCACTTAGTAGTTTTTTTCCCTCTGCTCTCGAGGCTGAACTCTCATTAGCTTTTAACTATTTCTACCTATATATGGGTTTGGCGTTATCAAGGTCATTTAGCAATGTATATATTCAACATTGCTGTCAACTGTAATGACTGTTGTTGAGACAGTGAAATGCTCTGTGTCAACTGTCTGTCTTGTTCACTTGTGTTCGTGAATCGGTGGTATTGTTGTTGTGATGGTTGACGTTCTGATTGACGTTGTAGTCGATTTGTTTGCGCGTTAGGTTTGTATTTTTTGTGGTCTGCTAGACTGATATTGCTCGTAGAGTGTTAGATCGTACTACGGGGTCGTAGCAAAAATAAACCTTCATTGAAAGCTTACGGTAGTTTACTTTGCTTCGATTTGGATGTCATAGCATAACATTTTTCACAGGTATTCATAAATATCAGAAGACAAGTCTATGAGCTACCCATCTCGAGACCAATCACTAAACAGACCTAAGTCTTTACACAAGTATTAGGTTTTTGAAAAGAGGTTATTTCTAGAGTAGTACTTCGTTTGAAATGGATATCAGTCGAGAAGTCATTGGAAGTGAGGATGTACTAGACTGGTATCTCAGTCTAACTTGACACTAGTAATTCTCATTTTACAACGTGTGACATGCATATATGGGTGAAGTAATGGACTATTTGGTCGAAATTATTCTCACATTCAGTTGATGTGAAGTTCTTGATCGTCATCGATTCAAATGGTTGGGACATATGTTGCATGTACCTAGTCCCTATCTGTCGTGTTTCATAATGTTAGCTGAGCTAGGGTCTAGCATCAACAGATGAAGTCTTTGAGTGTTAGTTTGATCCGTCCAGGGGAATGTGTACTTCTTGTTTGTGGTCTACATGATAACTGAAAACGACAATTAGAGACTTTAGGTTGTACAATTCAAAATCGGACGCAATAGCATAGATGTATGCACACAGTATCTTTATGTCTTGTTGCTATGTTTTCACAACGTTCTGTATTTATTTATTTTGCTGTCTTCTATCTTTATGTATGAAAGGGTTACACATTGGATCATTGCGTGTCGTATTCATCGACTATAATTTCTCTTGAAACCTTAATAAGACTATGAAAAGCTGATCATAATGTAAAAATATTCATGTTCATCTTGGAATTAATGAACACTATGAATGTTGAATGTTAGTTAATATACGTGTAGTTGTATGCTTGAAATATGTTTGTGTTTTTTTTCTTAACTATGCAGTTATTATTCGTCAACTTCTACTCTCCTTATTCAATCCGTCGATGAAATTGGATAGTCCAGAGACTGAGAAGTTAGAATTGAATTATATACATTTGTTGGATGATGTATTCAATGAAGATGAAAATGAAGGCGATAATAATAATAATAATAATAATAATAATAATAATAAAGATGCTAAAGAACAAGATAAACAAATTTTGACTGCAGCCTTACTATTTGCTCGTCAATTATGCTGTGAAGATAGTCGATTGACAGGAATTAACTATAGTCAATGGTGGAGTGAAACATTTTGTACTCCGTTACAATTCTCATTAACAAATACTACACTTTTAGATAATAATTATTCACTGTATTGTATACTTTCATCACGATCTACTGTATTTTATTTTTGTGATCTATTGATTGAATTATTACCATTTGAGACAGATGCAAAATTTCTTCAAATACAATTGAATACAAAGCTTAATTGGTTTAATAATGTAAAGAAATTGACTAACTCTAATCGAATGAGAACTAATGTAGGAAGAGGGGAGTATCATCAGTTAAGAAATACTGGATTATCTCTTCCACATATTGTTGATGATGATGTTGATCAAATTCTGATGCCCATAGATCTGGATCCAATAAATACAACTGATGATATTGATTATGTAGAAGCTTGTATGAATCGATGGAATGACTATTGTGATATTGCTCGAGGGCGATTGGCTGAATTGAGAGTAAGTTATCCTATTCTCAATAATTACTCACCAAAATTTATCAATAAATTCATAACAAATCGAAAGAAAAATATTAGCAGTGGTAGTAGTAATACATATGTTATTAATAATAATCCCACTACTAGTGGTAATAATGGCGACAGGGTTAAGAGAGAATTCAAAGCCTCTCCTGTGTTACCATACAAGGAAGGCATCTCAGAAGCACTACGAAGAATTCTCAATAAGGCTGGAATTAAAGTGGCATTCAAACCAACAAACTCACTTAGAAACAAACTTTGTAGAAGTGTAAAACTTGGGCACTGTGGTAGAATGTAATTCCATATTAGATTTGTTTATTTGATATAAAGCGCACAGTGATACAGTATTATTTAATTGATTACGTTTCGAGCATAAATTATTGCTCATAATCATATCAATGTAATCACACTTCTTTCGATATCTGATTTTATAGTCCTGTCACCTGATCTCTCTTTGTTTTTTGATTGGTAGTAAAGTTTTCCATATCTCTGGTATAGGTGTTGCGTCATTCCTATTACATGTGTTGGGTGTGGATTCGATGAACAAAGATTCAGTAATTAATCTCTCTCTCCACCTAGCTATATTAGACTTAAGTACAGTGGTTTTGTCCCATCCTATTGTGTGGTTGTGTGTTAATGAATGTAATGCAATGGCCGAGTGTTTTTCTAGGTTATTGATCTGGGGTCTGCGTTCTATGTTTAGCTAAATTCCTATGTTCTGTTAATCTAACTGACCCCACCGGCTAGTTTGACCTATGTATTTGACTTCACAGTCATTACATGGAATTTGGTAGATTATATTATTTTGCTAATTGGTTCTATCGGATCTTTTAGCCGACAAAGCTACTCTAAGTGAGTTTGTTGGTTTAAATGCCACCCTAATTCCAACCTTGTTGAGAATCCTACGTATGGTTTCTGATGTTCCTTCCTTGTATGGTATCACAATAGAGGTGTTATTTCCTTTCTACTTATGTTGTCACTATTATTTGTATTTGTATTAGTGTTATTATTTTGCTTCTTATGTGTCGTGTGAATTTCTTAATAAAATGATGGGGATAATTATTATTATTAACGCTTCTTTTATGTGTTTCAATTCCTTTTTTAAGTCCTTACAATGACTAGTGAGTTTCTCAGCTCTGTTATTTAGACATTCGACTAAACCCGCTTTAACTGACACTGGATGAGATGACTTGAAGTCTAGATATCTGTTAGAATGTGTTGGTTTTCTGTAGACGGTAGTATCTAAACCACCATTTATCCCCATCATTTTATTAAGAAATTCACATGGACACATAAGAAGCAAAATAATAACACTAATACAAATACAAATAATAGTGACAACATAAGTAGAAAGGAAATGAACACCTCTATTGTGATACCATACAAGGAAGGAACATCAGAAACCATACGTAGGATTCTCAACAAGGTTGGAATTAGGGTGGCATTTAAACCAACAAACTCACTTAGAGATAGGCTTTGTCGGCTAAAAGATCCGATAGAACCAATTAGGCAAAATAATATAATCTACCAAATTCCATGTAATGACTGTGAAGTCAAATACATAGGTCAAACTAGCCGGTCGGGGTCAGTTAGATTAACAGAACATAGGAATTTAGCTAAACATAGAACGGCAGACCCCAATAAGATCAATAACCTAGAAAAACACTCAGCCATTGCATTACATTCATTAACACACAACCACACAATAGGATGGGACAAAACCACTGTACTTAAGTCTAATATAGCTAGGTGGAGAGAGAGATTAATTACTGAATCTTTGTTCATCGAATCCACACCCAACACATGTAATAGGAATGACGCAACACCTATACCAGAGATATGGAAAACTTTACTACCAATCAAAAAACAAAGAGAGATCAGGTGACAGGACTATAAAATCAGATATCGAAAGAAGTGTGATTACATTGATATGATTATGAGCAATAATTTATGCTCGAAACGTAATCAAGTAAATAATACTGTATCACTGTGCGCTTTATATCAAATAAACAAATATAATATGGAACAAGCTTTGTAGGTTAAAAGATCCTATTTATGCAATTAAGTAAAATAATCTGGTCTACCAGATCTCTTGCAATGATTATGAGGTCAAGTACATAGGTGGAAGCAGTCGACCACAGTCGATTAGAATAACAGCACAAATCTTAGCTAAATCAAGATTAGTAGATCCTAATAAGATAAGAAATCTAGAGAGAAACTCGGCTATAGTTCTGCATACGATGACACACAATCACACAGTAGGGTGGGATAGGGTGACAGTGCTGAAAACTAACTTAGTTGAGTTGAGGGAGAGATTGATGATCACCGAATCTTTGTTTATCGAATCAACACCAAACACATGCAATCGAAATGATTCTCCACCTGTTCCAGATATATGGAAAATTCTACTACCGTTGTCATCGCACAGAGAAGGAGAGAAAACTAGGAATATATAAACTCTGTCTCGAAGTTGTGGAGTTACCTATGGATATGAATATGGACAATAAATTGTATCCGAAACGTTATCCAGTAAATGCTACTGTTTCACTGTGTGATATTTCTAATAAACAAACTAAAATGGGATTACACTCGACCAAAGTGCCCAAGTTTTACACTTATATTCTTACTGGGCTTATTGATTTATCGAGTATATTATTCAGTTGTACTACAATAATTCCACTTTACGGTATGCATAGGTGGGAGTATTTGACTAATTATACCATACAGTGTGAAGTTTTCATTTATTTTCTTACAGGAGCATTGTAGTTCAACGAGAATTGTGCTAACGGACAAAAAGACTTCAGTTTGTTTACGTGATTCACCTACTCCAGGCTGGAATGATATTCTCAGTTGGTTGCACGAGATTTTGGCACAGCGTTCAGTAGTAGATAAAGATGTTAATCAAGTGTCTAGTTGTCGTTTACCTTCAGAGTGGAATGAAGTCAATCTATTTCGGTAAGTAATATTTCCACATGCATTACTATTATTATTATTTGTCCCTTGGGTTCTTAGTAGAAGATAGGGTTTCAGTAACATATCGCCACTTCACTCTCTCCTCTGCAGTCTTTTCAACACCGCTCCACCACTCTTCACAAGCTGTCATCTATTCCTCACAGGATCTCCTCCATGTCACCCTCGGACACCCAACTCACCATTTCCCATTTGGATTCCACTCGACGAACTGGCCTGGCTCGTCATGTCTCTGAATGGTTTCCTCAGTGTATGCTCAATCCAATACAATCCATCTCAACTTTCTTCTGCATATCTGTTGGACGATCGGCTCTTGGTTGGTTCGTCGCCAGACTTCCTCGTTCCTTACTTATTCTTATTATTCTGGCCATCCATCTGATCTCCAGTATCCAGTGAACGTAGGCAGCAGATGTTGATGTATGTCTGTAGTGTGTGTTCGAAATGCTTTTCGTAACACGCCAAGTCTCTCAACCATCACATGGAAGCACTGACTGACTTGACTGAATTAGTGTTGAAAATCCGGATGTTGTTCATGCTTTATGCTGAGTGCAGTGCAGTAGATCTCCACACTGATTATTTCAAATTGTTGAAGGCCTGTCTTGCTGTTTCCGATCCTGGCTACTTTGACGTCCTCATATGTACCGCCACCTGTAGTTGAAACGATGCTGCCTACCTAGGTAGTTGTGTAGGTGAAAGAGACTACTTCCTTTAGGTGTCTCTCGTTGATGGTGATTGGTGTTTGTTGTTGTTGTTGTTGTTGTTGGTTGAGTATCTTCATCACCTCTGTCTTCTCTACTTTCACTTGAAGTCCCATTTCCGCTGCTCTGGGTCTTTTGTCAACTTGCTAGTTTTTGCCTTTTGATCTTCAAGTTTGTACGACATTAGACATAAATCATCGGTGAAATTCAAATATTCTAGGGTCTTTTCATCAGTTCAGCCAGCTCATACACCTCTTCTCATTCCTCATAGTTTCTTGCATGATCCACTCCACCACAATCAGGAAGATGATCGGTGATAGTAGGTGGCAGCCTCGTCTTACTCCTGTCCCTTGTGTTTACTTCAAAGGCGTCACTGAGCTTTCGTTGTGAATCACTTGGCTTGTGGCGTCTTCATACAGTTGTTGAATGAGGTTGATAAAGGTTTGTGGCACTTCGTAGTGTTGAAGTAGCTGCCTGTCAAATTACTTCTCGGTCGAGGCTGTCGAAGACCTTTTCAAAGTCGATGATGTTAAGGTAGAGATCCGCTTGACTGCCATTGTACGCTCTGTTCTATGATGATGCGTAATTTTAAGTTTGATCCACACATGATTTGTTCTTCCTGAATCCAGCCTGTTCCGGTGGTGATTTTGAATGCAGAGCAGTTGTAAGTTTCTCCAGGATGATGCGGCTTATTATTTTACTTGGGGTGGACAGGAGCATAATTCCGCGCCAGTTCTTGTACTTGCAAAGACTTAGGTCCCCCTTCTTTGGAAGCTTGACGAAGTATTCCTCTTTCTAATCAGTCGGCAGGTACCTTACCTTCCTTCCAGACCTTCTGCAGTAGTGGTGTGAGCATGTCCGCTGTTGTCTCTGAGTCTGTTTTCAGTGCTTCTGGCGGAATTCCATCTGGTCCTGCTCCTTTCCAGGCTTTCAGCAACTTTATGGCGTTCAGGACATCACTTATGCTTTTGTCAGAGGGCTCGTGTTCGCTGGTAATTTTGCGGCTGCTGGTGGTATTTCTGGACCCGTTGCAGGTGGTGGTTGATTCAAGAGTTTTTTGAAGTGGTCAGCCCATCGTTTCTTTTGTTTCTACTCTTTGGTAACTATGTTTCCTTCACTATCTTTCATTTCTTTCATCTGTGTTGATCTCTCCCCTCTCAGATAGTAACCTGGTAATTTGATACAATGTTGTCACGTCTCTGTCTTTCCTACCAGCAGCCTATTCTGCTTCACTTGCCAGTGTGTCGTAGAAGTGCTCTTTGTCTTTGCGTGCACTCTTCTTGACTTCTTTGTCCAGTGTAGTGTTTTATAGGTTGTATTCAGTTTCTCATTTCGATCTTCATCCCCGCCTGCACTGGTTCATCTTCTGCTTCACCATCTTACTCTCCTTTCTCTATCAGCTTCCATGTGTCTATGGAGATCGATTCCATTTCTTGTCTTCTTTGTTATCCCTTCCTAATACGGTTATACAGGTTTCTTTCCATATCTCTTTCAAAGAGTTCCAGTGTTATTCCGCACAGGTTTGTTCAGGGATGTTGCTCAGTATCTCCCGTTTTGTCCTGATGACTGACGTGAAGATGTCGTTTGTAGTTTCGTCCTTCAGTTCAGTCTGTGTTCTGGGTGGGTGTTGAACTTGAACTGTGGTCTATTACCAACTTCTTTGAAGGTTTTCAACTTGATTTTGAATGTATTTAGGTTCCTTGCACTGGATAGTGAGTGGTATGAACCTACATCTGCTCCCCTTCTTGATCTGGTTTTGTATTCCAGTAGGCTGACTGCGTCTTCACTTTCTTCACATTGAGATGAAGTTGATGTGAAGTGGATTTTTAGTGTGTCTTGGTGTCTGGTGAAATCAAATCTGTGTCGCTTTGTGAATATCACTGTGTTTGTACACACTGCTTCCAATCGCTAAGTCGTTGAATGCACAGACGTCTGCAAACAGTTCTCCATTCTTGTTAATTTCACTGAGTACTTCTCGACCCATGATTGGTTCTCTTTCTGTGTTGTCTGCTCCCAGTTTAGCATTCATGTCACCCCACCCATTAGAATGAATTTTGATGTCGCCAACTGGACTGGGGTCTTGTCCAGTGTTGATTGGAGTTGTCTGCAGACTTCCTCCTTATTCTTTTGGTCTGCATTATTTGTAGGTGCGTAGTGTAACGTAGCATTGTATGATTGTAACTTTCCTTCCTTTTGAGTTTAACCTTAGTGTCATGATCGTGATCCTAGAGTAGATTGGTTCCCATTGCCTGAAGCCTTTGACGCTCTTGGGGACATCATGATAGCTACTCGAAAACTCGGTGTGCTGTGCTCGTGGTTGTCGTCTGGGTGACCGGAATAGATTATTGATTCCTTTCCAGTTGACAGTTTGGAGAGTCCACTTCCATTCCATCTACTCTCACAGATTCTAGCACTTTTATGCTATACCTTCTCATCTTTTTGGGAATCTGAGCAGCCCTGCTAGGTTCAAGCGTTGTTCGGATATTCCATGTTCCCATGTTTACTTTCGCTTTCATCTAGAAAAGATACATCGGTTGACTGGCTTCCCGAAGGAAGTTTGTTTAGCTGTTAAATTGGTTTTACGGTGTAGGGTTACTAGCCGTTTGCCCAACCTTCCCTGTTTATCCGGACTTAGGACCGGCTAGTAACTAGTGGACTAGTTACCTAGGCGAGGTACATATACATATCTATACTATCACTAGAAATTTCTTTTTCTATATATCCATGTGATTGTTACTGTTACTATTACCTTTAGATAATACAGCGGTATGTCATTGTTTCCAATTTTTAGCATTTAACCATTGGGTATTAAGTTTAAGGACAAAGCGATAGGTAAGAAATATAGTTCACTCGGTGTATTTTAAATCTCTGCTGACTGAAGTGATTACCGTACCAACTGACGCAATATAGACAGTTTTAATTGAACTAGGATTAGATCACAAGACGGCACAGTGTAGTCAGACTGAAACATGTCATCGATTCATGAAGTCTTTAATTGTTATGATTTAAAAAACTGGTATATGCTATGGCAACTTACGATGCATGGATATCAATTGTCAGCCACCAACATTCAACAAATTTCTAGTTGATCGCCTACCCGACTAATTAATGGAGAAGACATGATGGACGCATAATAACGTGGAGTGGGGTAGAAAGATCGAAGACCCAAAAACAAAGTAAAATACAACTAATATATAGATAGTTCTCTGTTTAAAGTAATCCCATTGTTTGGCTCATCCACAGTCTATGTATCTAACTGAACACAATAACATAAAGTGCATTTTGATTGATCTGTCTTCAGACTAATCATTTCTCTGTGTCCCCATACCACCTCCATCTTCGAAAGAATGTTACTTGGGGTCAGACTGGTCCGCACCGTCTTTATCTTAAATCTACCTGACCGACGCAGGGGGAGTTTCTCCTCGTTTACCGGGAGATCAGTACTCTTCTCGATATTCTTTTGGTGGGAAGTTGCATGAGCATGAAAATCAGCTATCAAGCCGAGAGGTTTATCTACCAATCGAGAATGAGATCTGCGGTGATATCTGCAGGATAACCTTTGTACGCGTGGTTGTGTCTGTTGGTGGCAAAAGCCGTCCCAATGCTCCATAGCATTACAGTCCCAGCATCGATGGCGTTTATGTGGACAAGATTTGATGAAATGCCAGGCACCACAATGCTAGCAAGGTCATAGGGTGTCTTCTTCAAGGGTCGGTTGGTATCACATGAGTTATTAGGCCGTTGAACCGGTGAGATAAAGCCAAGGGGTATGTGACCAGAGGGCGTTTCAGAGGAATAAGATGTCTGGTGAACGATGGACGTGTAGAAACACATATATTTTGGGACCGAAAGACAGAAGGCCGTAAACAGAGGAAAATATGTCTAATACAGGGGCAACTTTAAAGGCCATCTTAGCAATAGACGAAATAACCAACTAAGTTTCTTCGTTTTGGATAGAGAGACAGATTTGTGTAAACTAAAAAAGCCTGATTGGTTATTTCAGTTGTTGCTAAGGTGGCCTTTAAAGTCGCTCCTAATATATAGATTGTTCGTTGTTTAAAATAATCCTACTGATCCACCATCTGTCTGTTTAACTATACATGTGATTGATTGGTCCCTTTCCAGACTAGTCATTTCTCTTTATCCTCCATATCACTAATGTTTAACCTGAACCGTGTAGGAGAGTTGTGAACTATTTGGTTGGGATCTTCAAGATGTTAGAAATCAATGACTGAAAATCGTTTCTCTTATGATTCTAAAGTGATCACAATAGCCTGGATGTATACACTTTTAATCATCAAAATTTCGATTGTTTTTACTAACCTTCCTTTATTTACCTACTTTTTCCACTTTTGTCTCCTTTAATCTCATTTTGTTTCCATTCACTGTCAGGAATTGCATATAGTGTTAGTTGTGAAGTAGGTTTAGGCTGAAGAAAGGTAAGAGGCAGCCAAACTAGAACATAACATTATTCTATGAAGTTGTTCAATGTTATTCTGATCCATGCAGTAGAATGTAAGTTACCTGTTTGGAGTCCGCGTGATAACAGAAACATGTGGTTGGAGACTGTGGGTGATATAGCTTGAAAGCGATTTTAATGGTATACATGCATACTTACATCCTTTTCATCTTAACCATCGTATTGAATTTCAGTATTCTCTCTTCTTTCATTCCTTTCTTTTGACGACTTTATATCACTTTTGACTACCTTCTTTATTGATTTGTTTTTCATCTTCATGTATTCTGGGAGTTTATGCACTGGTGTGAAGTGTAGCAACTTCAACTGGTACACAGTAATAATACTTCTTATACTGTTGTGCGAATCGTAGTAACCTGAACTGATGGAGTTTTGTGCAAGATCCTACATTAATTTATCTGTTGCAGGTTCAAACCATCCATCATATTCTTCAACTCTGATAACAGACTAATGTGTATAGTTCCTACGATGTAGGTGTAACCAGAAGCCTAGCTAGAAAACATATGATTGTATGTGGAATTCTGGTGTTGCATTCTAATGTACAAATTATCCAGTTGTGTGCATTTATTAATATAACTTTCAATTCGAAGTTATCAAGTAAGAAGATTACAAAAGTTATTCAGCCTTTCTTTAGACTTATTGGTTATCTGTGGCAGAAGACGCAGGGCAGCGGGACTTCAAGTGAACGTAGAGAAGACAGAGGTGATGAAGATACTCAACCAACAACAACAACAACAACAACAACAACAAACACCAATCACCATCAACGAGAGACACCTAAAGGAAGTAGTCTCTTTCACCTACACAACTACCTAGGTAGGCAGCATCGTTTCAACTACAGGTGGCGGTACATATGAGGACGTCAAAGTAGCCAGGATCGGAAACAGCAAGACAGGCCTTCAACAATTTGAAATAATCAGTGTGGAGATCTACTGCACTGCACTCAGCATAAAGCATGAACAACATCCGGATTTTCAACACTAATTCAGTCAAGTCAGTCAGTGCTTCCATGTGATGGTTGAGAGACTTGGCGTGTTACGAAAAGCATTTCGAACACACACTACAGACATACATCAACATCTGCTGCCTACGTTCACTGGATACTGGAGATCAGATGGATGGCCAGAATAATAAGAATAAGTAAGGAACGAGGAAGTCTGGCGACGAACCAACCAAGAGCCGATCGTCCAACAGATATGCAGAAGAAAGTTGAGATGGATTGTATTGGATTGAGCATACACTGAGGAAACCATTCAGAGACATGACGAGCCAGGCCAGTTCGTCGAGTGGAATCCAAATGGGAAATGATGAGTTGGGTGTCCGAGGGTGACATGGAGGAGATCCTGTGAGGAATAGATGACAGCTTGTGAAGAGTGGTGGAGCGGTGTTGAAAAGACTGCAGAGGAGAGAGTGAAGTGGCGATATGTTACTGAAACCCTACCTTCTACTAGGAACTCGAAGAACTAGCAATAATCATAAAAATCGGTTATTTATCGTTTTGGTATAATCAAAGGGAGCTTAGTTAAGCAGAATGTGATTGAGATAGATGGCTAATCGTAGTGGGAAGTTGATTTCATTTGAAAGCAACACCCTATCCTTTCAAGGGATTTCAGTAAGAAAATGAATTTCTATACTACTGGATTGATAAGACCTTATATCATCATAGTTTCGGCTTGAGAAATGTGGTACACTACGTGTTTTGAGTTGTTTTTAATACTTTTTCGATGATTAAAAGCATATGTGAAAGTGCTTTACACTCATGTTCTGTCCCAGTGAAGTTTTCGGTTTGGATTTTGATGAATTGGGATGGCTGTCTACTGACTTTCGGGACAACTGTATGCATTCAATTGGTGTTCTTGAGGATTAATTGATTTCAAGCTAGTATTCATCACAACTGATATCACTCCATGATAAATGCTAATATATATATGAGATTGTAATGTTATTGCTTGTATTATACTGTCGTTGATTGGACGGAATTGATCGGTCTCTATTGGCATATCGTGGCTCGGTGATCTAATGGATAATGCTCTGGCGTTTTTAAGCGATCCATCCCGACTTCGAATCCCGGTGGGGACAACATTCACTGGGAGGCAGGTACATCCAGCTGATGAGTCCCAAATAGGATGAAATATGCATCCTGGATTCCACTGCTAGCCACTACCCATCATTAATATATAACAGGTTGTAGGCTAGATATTAATAAGCGTTCCGGTCAAATCTGAACATTTTTCTTACCATAAGTCAATTGGAGTTGTTACAGGATTGAGAAGTCCGATATTAGTGAGGAAAATGGATTCATTAGCGCATACACCCATTCAGGAAGTGGATTCTTAGAATTCAGCTCCTCACCTGTTAGTTGTTCAAACTTAGATGTCGATGTTTACTTTGAGTCAACTCCACAGTGTTATCATCAGACAATTTTCATAATATCATATATATATTTTCTGATATTCTGATGTATATTTTTCTTCAAGCCCTCGTTGGCTTCGATGTACACTGATTCCAGCTCTAATACATGCACCTGAGATAGAAGATTTGTCCAGAGAATTAAAAGATGCTCGAGAACAACTCTTACATGCAATACGTACAGCAGGATTATCACATCTATTGGATAATTCACAGGATATCTCTAAATTTGATACAATGAAACAAATTACTTCAAAGAAACGATTCAATGTTTCTACAAACAACTCTTCATTATGTAAACAGCCTAAAGTTTCATCCAATAAATTATCATCTAATAAACGATTGAAATGCCATGGTAACCGTCAAACTGTTAACCGTCTTGTAAAGAAGAAGGGTCAATAAAGATAAGTTTAGATAATTTAGTGGTATTAAGAGTGTTATTGTGTATACACAGATACATTGAGTAACATGATCATAGTAGTTATATCTGGCATTCTATCTGATCAACAGATGTTATTGTCTTGAGAAAATAAAGTATAACTTATGGTTTTGTTAATATCTGGATATTTTTTTATTCAACTTCAAGGTAAAAATGGGACACTGATGTGTTGGGAATGTATGTACAGCCAAATTCTCTGATTTCAATCTTAATGGTTGATTGTGTTTGTTTAAAAAAAAAATTTTAGATCATCTTGTTCGCATCGATTTTCATAGGTCGAACTGATTTACTGATTAGATCGTACATATATTTTTCTCAGTAAGAACACTGGGCACTTGTGTTACTGATTGAAAAAAAATGGGATAGACCGTCTCCTCCTGTGTTACTGAATATAAGATACTTGAAATGTTGTTAGAATTTGGTTAGTATGCCATTGGTTATTTTGCTCGGTTTCGATGAATAATCGTCTAAGTTTGTTCCACTTATTTGAGCTGCTAAATCTGCGCCACCTCATTTATTCGAGGTGAGCAGATTACATGAATGTATTCTTACGCAATTAATGTGGCTGTGGTTCACACTGACTTACCACTGTGTGTATGTGACGACTTATATTTTGTTTATAGGTCCTCATGCTTGTACCGCGCCGGCTTACTTTCGTGACCTGAAATAGGATTCAGGATTCGAAGGAAGTGTTACATATGTGCTTCAGTTTTATCGCCTGTATGTACGTTCGACATAATCACATCGGAGCATCGTCGAAATATTGTTGTTGTCTTTTAATTCGCCTAATTTTGCATCGCTTTTGTCTACTGTTTTACCCGTGACCTTAAAATAATCTACATGGCTGTTTTCACACAGTAGTTTTTCTTCCCTCTGCTCTCAAGGCCGAACTCTCATTGGCTCTTAACTATTTCTATCTATATATGGATTTGGCGTTGTCAAGGTCATTTAGCAATGTATATATTCAACATTGCTGTCAACTGTAATGACTGTTGTTGAGACAGTGAAATGCTCTATGTCAACTGTCTGTCTTGTTCACTTGTGTTCGTGAATCGGTGATATTGTTGTCGTGATGGTTGACGTTCTGATTGACGTTGTAGTCGATTTGTTTGCGCGTTAGGTTTGTATTTTTTGTGGTCTGCTAGACTGATATTGCTCGTAGAGTGTTAGGTCATACTACTGATCTTTATACACCTGATGCATCGAGTTCATGTTTTAAATAAAATAATGATAAAATTTATTTGAAAGTTGTCCAAATATCGATTTGAACTCGTCTTGTTGTTTTACTTTGACCCCGTAAATAACATAATCACTAAGACTCTCGCCTTATGAAGTTAACTTTAAGTAAGTGAAGCTGTATGCGTGAAACAATTAACCCAGCTGTACGTACAGTCTTAGTTTTTACACACACAGACACACAAGCGTTCCTGCCTGATATAACGGAACTCAATATGATATATAGCATGATGATTACAATATACCTTCGGATGTTTTAATCTCTTGGTGTACAGTTAATGTCTATTATAGTTGGCTCAGTACTTACCTAACTAGTTTAATGATCACATTAAAGCGCTTTTCTATACCAAGGTGTTACCTTTCAACAACCTTCAAGTCAAGAATATCCTATCCGATATATTGACAGGCTGACTGATACAATCAACGTAGGACCTCACACACAGGTACATTGGCTCAATTTGTCACACTTCACAGTGGTACACAACGAACAGGTGTGTAGAAGAAGAGTGATATCAATGTAGTCAAAGTTTTGTGAGAGTGTAACAATCTGAAGATAACAGTTAGTGTGGATACTTAAGCTTAAGAAGATGTCATCTGTTCCATTTTGACTGATTTTCAGCCATATCACAAAGAGTCCTAAACCACTGATTCCTTTCATCTCAGAACCCAAACCAGGTAGTTTACGTCGCCCAGCATAGACCAGACTTATAGTCAGGGACTTCATTGACTGGTATCACGTCTTGGTCTGACCACCCTGAACCCTTTTCTCATCTAATCCAACTCCCCCTAACATTGCTCGTCGAGGTAGGCAGTGACTCGCCATCAGCAGGTCATCTCCAAGCCATATCATTCAATGAACATCCACAACTTCGTCAATCTGGCCTAGTATCTTTCACCTTACCTCAACATTACTCACACGGTGATTCCACCAAACGCGAGCAATGCTGCGAGGAAACCCTGCAGCTCAGTATACTTGTCCTTTAATAGACAGCCAGATATCTCGCCGAAGCCACAGGCGACGTAAGTTGGCGAATGGCGAAACAGGCCTTCTGTATCCGAGCTGACATTTCTTCAGCAACAAAACTGTTAGGGCTGATGCAACTCCCCAAGTTACTAGAGTGGTCGAAGCATTCCACCACTTCACTCCCTATCATTAAGCTAGGCATCATTGCAAACCATTCTCGGAGCACCATCTTACATTTGACAAGCGTGAGATGCACGTCAAATATATTCAGATTTCTGCTGAACGCATCCAAAATACTGTATTTTGTCAACATCTTCACCCAACAGGACAAATTCGCCTGCATGCTCCAAGTCAACCAGGTGACCCCCAGGGAGTAGATCAATCTGTGTGAAGTCAGACTACCTAAGGGTGTTCTCATCAGTAACAAAGTTAAACAGGAACGGTGACAACAGGTGGTTGTGACGACAACTCTCCATAATCCCTCACACGGCTGCGTGAGTTCGAATGGACAACTTTGATAAGCGTTATATACTTGATCGGTACTCCCTTCATAGTCAGACATTGCCATTACACCTCAGGATCAAAAGAGTCAAATTCCGCCTTCAACTCAACAAACATGACGAGTGTCTGCCGATGGTAGGTATATCTGCATTTCAGAACATGTCGGAGAGTGAAAATATGATGGATACAGCCTCGACCAAGTGTGAAATTTGCCTGATTTTCTCGAGTTCCAGTTATGCATCGGTTGACTATGATGGACCTTAGGATCTTGGACACAATATTAGTGAAATAAATTCCTTTATGGTTGTCACAAGAATATCACTCCCTCTTCTTATAGACTGGGATGATGAGTGAACTAGGGCAGTTTGACGGGACTACATCAGATTTCAATGGACAACGTAGTACTTCTGTCACTCCTATCAGCAATTTCCTACCTCCATCCTTGAAAACGTCAGATGGCAAACTGTCAGGTCCTGCCGCTTTGCGTTGTTTCAAGTTCTCAACTTAAGGAGAGTGGGAGAACCGGCATGTGCGTTGGATTCATGTTCAGGTTAGATGTTGGGTAACCGAAGCATTGTAGTGAGGCAGTTGAACTGGGTTTCAAAGTGTTCAACCTGACGTTCTAGTTGCCTGTCCTGGTATGTTATCGGCGTTCTATCTATCCTTTTCGGTGGTGGTTTCACTCACCATCATCTTATTCTTACCGGTATCCTGATAAGCCTAAATAGTTTTCGAGTGTTACCCAACGCTGATGCTTTCTGCATCTCTCCTGCTTTCGCTACCCACCACTGCTGACGATCAACGCAAAGACTCCTGGTCAACTTACGTTTAAGTTGCTTTCACTTCCGATATGTTAGGAGAGAATGCCTTACATTCTGGTTATCGTTATTCTTTATTTTCAATGGAGGTTCGTGCATCACATGTTTCATTAGTGTGTAATGCTAGATTTCAAATGTGCAAATTAGTTTCCAAGTAGCATTTCTGAGTTTCTGAATACACCAAGTTCATTGACTGATTTTCATGTTCTCACGGAGTTGAAAGCATTAAATATAACCTTCTTAAAAACTGAACTATGCTCAACTTAGTATGATCATCTTGAGAAAGTTAAAACGGCTGAACTCACAAAGATGTACTAAAGCTTCTCACCATCATATTTACTATATTTGGCACATATGCGCGACTGATACTTTGATATTACTTCTTGTAAAACAAAACTTTTATTCTACAAATGTGTATTGTGGAGATTTATCTGTACATTTGATTTGTAGGGAAAAAAACAAGTTACATTGTGTTTTCTATGGATAGGGTCGAATAGAAACTGGGCTTTATATTCCATGTGATCATCACCATTCATTTTTAATCTGATTAAGGTGAATATTCGGTGGAAGTTGGTTCAGTTCAAGCATATTATCAGAGATCAGGTGTTTTTCAAATACAATACGTCTTAACCAACGAATTGGCCATAAAAATATTATCCATATTCCAACATAGAAGATATATACCCACTTCACTCTGTTAATAAATGGTGTTTCAAATCTGTTTTATGGAGAAAAATTCAATAGTTAAGGATATATGTTGTAGTATTTCATTTTAAAATGTGAAGCAATGACGCATTTATCTCAGTAGATCACGGTTTCAACTATGGCTTCATCCACCGAGATGTGGTCAGCCAGACTGTTTCACCAGCCTTCACATAGCAGGGTTCGTTGCCTATTGTATTAAACATGCAAATAATTGTTGTGAGAGTTTATTTTCATCATAAGTAGTCGAATAATGATTCAGATATTCTACTCTACCACATGTCGAAGTCATGGATTTAAAGCCGTTACATCTGTTTCTGGTTGAGCATACGAGTAGTTATTTAACCAGTGTAGCCTGTTACATGAAACCGTGCATTGTTATTGTATCCGACTGATCTAAGTGGATATTTTCAGGTCTCATACACATTGCGTAGCAACAGTAGTAAAATAAGTTGGAATGATCATTTTTTTTCACCCAGAATGTGTTGAGATCACTACTATGCAAAATCGGATAAGTTTCTTCAACAGACCAACAAAATACTTGGAACCTAAATAGCATTCACAAGATTCACTGCTCACGGTAAACTGTGAACAACTGATTCGTTATATCAAGAAGCTACAATGAGAGATAGAAGACGATAAGATTTTAGAATCAACTAACTGCGTTCTGTCTACTACAAAGGTATATCAGAATTATCTACATTATGATTACTATTTGTCCCTTGGGTTCCTAGTGGAACATACGGCTTCAGTAGCACGTCTCCAGTGCGCTCTGTTCTCTGAAGTCTTTGGACCTGGCTCCACAACTGCACAGGAGCTCTCATTTCCTCCTCGCATGATCTCCTCCATGTCACCCTCGAACGCCCAACTTGTCGCTTCCCATCTGGGTTCCACTCGATGCCTGGCCTGGCGCGTGATGTCCCCAGCCGGCCTTCTCAGTGTATGCCCAATCCATCTCCACTTCCTTCCTCCGCATATTTGTTGGATGATAGGTTCTTGGTTGGTTCATTGCTACAGTGAGTTTCTTGTTGCTTATTCTTTCTGGCCATCTGATCTTCAGTAGTGAGCGTAGGCAGTTGTTGATGAATGTCTGCAGTTTGTTGGAAATGCCTTTCGTAACGCGCCGCCAAGTCTCTCAACCATCACGTGGAAGCACTGACTTGACGTTGGTGTTTAAAATCCAGATCTTGATCTGCTGAGTGCAGATCTCCACACTGGTTTCAGGCTAATGAATTCCTGTCTTGCTGTGTTTCCGATCCTGGCTGTTTTGACGTCCTCGTCTGTGCCACCTGTAATCGAAACGATGCTCCCTAGATAGGTTAAAGAGGCTACTTCCTTTAAGTTTCTCCTGTTGATGGTGATTGGAGCTTGTTGTTGTTGGTTGGGTATCATCATCACCTCTGTCTTCCCTACGTTCACTTGAAGCAAGTTCCATCTTCGCTGCCCTGCCTCTTCTGTCAACTTGTTAGTTTTTTTCCAGTAGATCTTCGAATTTGTGTGACATTAGACGCAAGTCATCGGTGGCGAAATCCAGATCTTCTAGGATCTTTTCCGCAGTCCAACCAGCGTATCCCCCTCTTCTCGCTCCTCACTGTTTGTTGCATGACCCAGTCCTCTACAATCATGAATATCATGGTGGTAGTAGACAGCCTTGTTTTACTCCTGTCTTCGCTTCAAAAGCATCACTGAGCTTTTGTTGTGAATTACTTGGCATGTTGCGTCTTCATATAGTTGTTGAATGAGGCTGATAAAGGTTTGTGACACTAAAATCGTAGTGTTGAAGCAACTGGCAAATTACTTCTTGGTCGACTCTGTCGAATGCCGGTCTTTCAAAAGTCGATGAAGTTGAGATTGAATTGAGTTGGCTGCCATTTTATGCTGTGTTCTATGATGATGAGTAGCGTAGCGTGGCAATTTGGTCCTCACATGATTATTTTATCATCTATATATGTGACATATTTTTTGATAACGATATATATGTTTTTGCTTATGAGAAAAAGTAGTAAGTGAGTTCGAACTAGAAGTGTATAGTGAGAAGTGGATGCCTAAACCTAGGTATTCATGTGCCACATTGATATTTAAGCTGTATATCCATGGAATTTTAGATTACACTAAACAAATATCTAAATTGTTGACGTTTATAGGTGAGGTGGATTTATTGTTAAATTAGCTTTCTGATCAGGTTATGTGGTACATCGTTTGGGGCGATAACTTTACTTTGTCTCTCCAACCCACCTCCTCACCGTCTGTTAACTATGATGAAACTGATCATCAATGTTATGTGATATGACTATGGTATACAACCTTTCTATGTGAAATCAAAATATAACTCAACAACTACAACTATGTGGGTATCCAAACTTTGATAGATTGGGATTGGTGTCTAACTATTGATTCACTGGTTAAAAGTCGGCAGTCAATTACCAAATGAACTGCAGCCTCACTTTATAATAAATTCTGAAATGATATTTTTTGGTACCTAAAGATCCCTAACTGAGGTACTCAACGGTATACAGGTTCAAATTTAAAGTAATAGTCTTGTTGACAAATGCCAACAAGTCTTCTATGTACATTGATTAGTCACTGGAGACTAAACAACTTCATATTGTCAAGTCCTGAGTGCTGACCTCAGATTCTATTAATCATTTTGCAATGTGGTCAGCAAACTAACAAACTCACCGTTGTATGATGCACTTTGATTCATGTTAGTTTGGTGAAACATGGATTTCGGGCGGTTAAAAGAAAGCCTCTTATGTACTACTTTGAAAATGTGTCAGTGGTTACTGTTCGCATATCATGATGTCGAATAACTTGCGTATAACTTCAAATTTTCAAATTTGAATCAGCTGATTTTGAATTTCTCCATGAGGAACTAGTGGTTGTTTAGTAGGCGTTGCTGATAAGAATGGATATGAGTAGTATATGTTAAGAGGGTGGTAGAAATCATAAAGAATAACCAGCAATGGGTAAGTATTCCGCCAAGAGAAATGAGAGAGACAAAGCAGGCGTATGAAGAGCAAATCAAGAAAGAAGGAGGAGAGGAAATGATGAAGCATATTTTGCAAAGGACGGTTTTAGTGCAACGTGTACCGTATTATTTATCAACTGCTGTTCCAGTTTGTCGACAATAAACATTCGTTCTTGCATACCTGTATTTTGCTACTTTCAGTTGTTTAGACCACAGTCATCTATCTTCTATGACTCATATATGGCGGGATCACTGTGTACACAGTTGAGAAGTTAAGTGGAGGGTACTCGAAATGCCTTCGGTAGCCGTGTACATGCTTGTGCAGTTGGTAGTGAGAGCTGACTACCGAAACTTCGGTAAGTGAAGCTGGGTTCGTAAACCTTGGTCGACTGAAACAGTTTCGACATATGCTGCGCGTAACGAACCACCGCCTACATTGGTGTACAATGCTAATCAGACTAGGATTGGTCTAAAAGTACGCCAACAGTGGTCAAACTACGGCATGGCGCCCGTTCATGAACTCTTTGCCTGTTGGACTTAGGAGTGTAGGGAGGTGCTAACTGGTTAGCTAGAGTTCTCGAGATAATAGGAATCGATGATTGGAGATTGTGAGTGAAAACCGGTTACAATGGCTGAAATGTATACACTCTTTATCATCTTCAAGGTTCTGAACATTTTCATTGACCTTCACTGATTTATCTTTTCTCCCGTACACGTTTTCGTGCTTTAATATCACCTTATTTCAGTCCACTTATGTGCAGAGTTCTACGTCGATCTTTTTTGTAGCAGTTGTTGTCTTGATGGGCAGATTTTGATTTATATTCAAAAGGAGAACCTTTGATGGTCTGGAAGCAATGAACAACCCACTCACGTATGGGAATGTAGATAATTAGATTGTAAATCAATGATGGACGAGTGGTGAGCGTAGGAAACCTTGTGAAGAACCACATTGGCTCAAGGTGCCATATTCTACAATAATGCATTTCATGACGAAGCTTACGTTCTGCAGTTTACTGCTAGACACCACCAAACAAACTAATATCAGGATAAGCGATCAGCGAAGCATAGAAGCAGGCTGACACAACAACAGAGGTCAATTCGGTTCATAAAGTCAGAAATGAGGAATTGAAAGAGACTAACGTATTGACAGTTGCTGTCATCAAGGTGTTGTGGTATTTGACCAACTGTCGTAAGATTCGATTGGGTGCATTCACCAGTCGTCAGTTTCATGATGTACACACTGCTGTTGGTTGAACTCTTTCAGTGTTAGCATAGGCGGATGACTGATGAGAGTTTGCTCTTGAGTAATTGGTAATTTACAATATTACAAAAAAAGGATACAATAGCTCTCTTTCTGACAGATGAATCATCAAAGTCATATGAAATGATCCAGTGGAGTCAGTTTTGTCATTAGTTGCAAAATGGTGCGTCTTGCCAAGATGAATTGACACTATTTTAAAATAAAATGAAAAATAATAAACAATAAAATACATTTAATTCGTCATAGTAACAAATTCTATAAACTAACAATATTCAATTTACTAAGAAGTGGTTATTATTGATGTGGCTGCGTTGAGACTATACGTGGGTTTTAATAATACGCGAAGAGATAATCACTCGACGAGATACTTGGACTGGATACGAGTAATACGACTGTTATCCCTCACACCCTATACTTCACTGAGCTGCGAAAATCAGAAGACAGAAAACGACATGTGACTGCAGAACAACGACTTCCTCAGCCAAATACATGGTATTATATACATATATATAAAACCGTCAGAAAATGAAGCCATAAATGAACCAATCCGATTCGTTGTATGATGTCGAATTTGTCCAATCAGGTTAGCCCATGTCAGTACATGCATAAATCACTTTCTCTATTGGTTGCCTTTTTGTCGTTACGTTTAAGTTATTACCGCGCTAAGCGGTATCATGAAACGCAGTAATTAATGAATATGTGAGGCTTGGCACTATGGTAGGATTTAATTCTACATAAGATTTTCCTATTACATACATAGTGCACAGTGATACAGTATTATTTACTGAATGACGTCTCAAGTATAAATTATGATTGCTTATAATCATATCAATGTAATCACAACACTTTCGATCTCTGGTTTCTATAGTCCTACTACCTCATATTATTTGTTTCGACTGGTAGTAACTCTTTCCATATCTGTGGTATAGATGTTGCATCATTTCTGTTACATGTGTTGGGTGATGTTGATTCGATGAACAAAGATTCAGTAATCAATCTCTCCTTCACTCCAACTGGACTTGAGTACAGTGGCTTCATCCTACCCACCCTATTGTGTGGTTATGTTTTAATACATCCATTGCAGTAGCCGAGTATTTTTTCTAGTTTATTGATCTTATTCAGGTCTGTCATTCTACACTTAGCTAAATCCCTGAAACATGTTTCAGGACAAAATATGTAGACAAATAGAAGGAGTAGCAATGGGATCGCCAATGTATATTTATGGATAATATGGAAAACGTGGCATTACGGACGTTTAATTCTGCATCTGACATGTGAATAACACATTTATTGTGTTGAAATCGAAACATACTGACACTTTCCTTACACATAAACTTGGTAGTAGGCACAATCCAATTCATTTACAATGAGGCAGAAAGTGAACAAGGAGAAATTACCTGTGTTGGATTGAAGGATAAAACAAAGGATAGACGGTGGTTTAAATACTACCGTCTACAGAAAACCGATACATTCCAACGAGTATCTAAACTTCAAGTCATCTCATCCGATTTCTGTTGAGACAGGTTTAGTCAAATGTCTAAATGATAGAGCTAGGAAACTGACTAGTCAATGCAAGGACCCAAAACAAGGAACTGAAACGCATAAAAGAAGCGCTAATATTCTTAATGATTATCGTCTACAGTTTATTAAGAAATTCATACGAACGCATAAGAAACGACATAAAAAAAGTAACACGAGTACAAATAATAATGAGTAGAAAGGAATTCACAGCTTCCATTGTGTTACCCTATAAGGAAGGTACTTCAGAGACTTGAAGTACGATCCACAACAAAGTTGGAATTCGGATGGTATTTAAAGCTACAAACTCACTCAGAGATAAGCTTTGTCGGCTAACTTAAGGATCCGATTGAACCAACTCAGTAAAATAATCTAATCTATCAACTTCCATGTAATGACTATGAGTTAGGTCAAGTACATAGGTCAAACTAGCCGGTCGGAGTCAATTAGATTAGCGAAACATAGGAATTTAGCTAAATATAGAGTGATAGACCTGAATGAGATCAATAATCTAGAAAAACACCCCATAACCACACAATAGGGTGGGTGGGATGAAGCCACTGCACTTAAGTCCAATATAATTAGGTAGAGAAAGAAAGAGAGATTGATTACTGAATCTTTGTTCATCGAATCAACATCACCCAACACAATACTTGAAACGTCATCCAGTAAACAATACTGTATCAAATAAATAAATTTAATATGAAACGCAGTCGTGTTTGAAAATTATCAGTACTCTACGATATCTTTCAATTTTCAATCAGTCCACTTCCAAATATGAAGGAAGTAATAAGAGTTAACTTCAACTGCAGGCGGTGGCACAGATGAGGACGTCAAAGCCAGCCAGGATCGGAAAATCAAGACAGGTGTTCATTAACCTGAAACCAGTATGTAGATCTTCTACACTGCACTCAGCAAAAAGCGTGAACAACATCCGGATTTTCAACACCAACGTCAAGTCAATGCTTCTGTATGGCTCAGAGACTTAGGGCGTTACGAAAGGCATTTCCAACAAACCCTAACGCGCCAGGCCCTCAAGGGGAACCTAGATGGAAAACGACGAGTTAGGCGTCCAAGGGTGACATGGAAGAGATCGTGTGAAGAAGAAATGAGAGCTTCTGGGCTGTAGTGGAGCCAGGTTCAAAAGTTTTCAGAGAACAGAGTGCACTGGAGACGTGCTTCTGAAGCCGTATGCTCCACTAGGAACCCAAAGGACAAATAGTAATATAAAAATAATGATAAGAGTAAACAGAATCTTGGCAGCATAAAAATTGACAGTTGACAAAGGCAGTGTAATATCTTAAGTCATCATGACTGATTATGCAATCGGTTTTTATTTATGTTTAGCAATATATAACACTGGTTTCTTTGTGCAACACAAGTGTATACGATTATTCAAATTCACTTAGTACTTTCATAATATTTGAGTAGGTGAGCGTCTTCCAATTTCTTTGAGCTTATACACAGATTTGTATTTGACAGTAATATACCATTTCTATTCTGTAAAGTTTATTGACTCTCTAATTGGCTGATGAAAATATGAAAGATGCAATGAGTTATCAACCAGTGACTTCTTAGATTCAAGTGTTCAAAACAATGAGACAGTTTTTATTGATTGATTAGATTTATCACACAGTGAAGGAGCAGTATTGTTTACTGATCACATTTCGGACATAATTTATTGTCCATAGTCATATCAAGCAAGATAACTACATAACTTTGAGATATCCTTTATATAGTCCTAATTTCCTCACCTCCTTTGTGATGACATGGATAGTAAGATTTTCCATCTATCCGGAATAGGTGCTGAGTCATTCCTGTTGCTGCATATTGTATTCAGCGTTGGTTGATTCGATAATCAAAGATTCGATTATCAATGTCTCCTTCCACCCTGTTATGTTAGTTATAACGATTTTCACCCTGACCCATCCGATTATGTGGTTGTGTGTAGTCGCATGCATAGCTATGGCTGAGCTCTCTTCTAAATTCTTACCTTACTAGGATCTACCAATTTTGACCTAACTAGGTTTTTGTGTTCGGATAGCCTAATTGACCCTGATCGACTTCTTTAACTTATGTAGCTGACCTCTCAATCGTTGTAAGGGATTTGGTAAACTAAATTATTCTGCTTAATTGGATCAATAGGATCTTTTAACCTACAAAGCTTATTTCAAAGTGAGTTTGTAGGTTTAAATGCCACAGTAACAGTAATAATAGTGGGGATAGTAATGTCAATAATAGTAGTGGCAATAACTGTGAAGAGAGAATTCACAATCTCTACAGTATTACCATATAAGGGAGGCACCTCAGAAACACAACATAGGATACTCAATAAGGCTGCAGCTGGGATTACAGTAAGGTAAGAAATTTAGAAGAGAGCTCAGCCATAGCTATGCATGCGATTACACACAACCACACAGTAGGATGGGATGGGGTGGAAGGATAGATTGATAATCGAATCTTTGATTATCGAATCAACCAACGCTGAATACAATATGCAGCAACAGGAATGATTCAGCACCTGTTCCGGATAGATGGAAAATCTTACTATCCATGTCATCACAAAGGAGGTGAGGAAATTAGGACTATATAAAGGATATCTCAAAGTTGTGTAGTTATCTTGCTTGATATGACTATGAACAATAAATTATGTTCGAAATGTAATCCAGTAAACAATACTATTTCTTTCACTGTGTGATAAATCTAATCAATCAATAAAAAGGGAATTACACTCTACCACAGTGTACAAGTTTCACTCTTATACTTTTTATCGATATACGAATTTGATGTGAAGTCAGTTTTTATGCAGAAGATGTATCAGCTAGCGCAAGTGGGACATCTACAAGAAGAAAAGACTTGAGATCATATTGAATATAACTAACAACCGTTTAAATCAAATTATGTTGTATGAAACAAAAGGATTTCAGAATATCATATGTAATTGATTGTTTGTCGATTTAGAAATTCCACACTTTCAGACTATTGTACTCACAATATTATTACATTTCAATTGATGAAACTCATGATCCCCAATGGATATTTTATTCAACAGGTTACAATTAGAATCTCTGTTAAATAAGATTAAATTCAGTAACTAGGAGAAATAGAAATTTTATAGCTGTTAGCAGGGGACCTATGAAGAACAGTAATCACTGAGGATCAGCTCTAGTCACCTAACAACAGTTGGATTACTCGACATTTTTGTCAATACACTGTTGCTACCTTTGAGAATCGATAATATGGTCATTATTCAGATGGATTCAAAGATAACATGTTATTATTCACTAGTAGGAATTGTATATAGATTACATCCCATGGAATATTCATCGTTTAGATGCATATATATCCTGCTACGGAATGGTTGTCTCATATAGAAATTAGCGCCTATAATTATCGTTTTAAATGATTTGAAAGAAGAACAAGTATACTTTCAGCGATGAGTCTCTTTTTTCGGTGATTTCATTTCTAAAGCTATACAATACCAAGTTTATACATATTTTCTTCTAGTGTAAGGATTTGATAGTTAAAAACGGTTTGTCATGTATGTCAGTCAACACAAACAGTGTCAATAAATGAATGAGCTGTCATCAAAAACTGATGAGTAGTGAATATTAATCAAAATAAGTTTGAACAAGAAATTTGGTAACTGAATTGTGATCATGCAGGACATACCAACAAGAATGAATAGTAAATTACTTAACAAGTAAATATTATCCAAACAGAAAGATGAAAAGAAAAAGGTGAGGAGAAGTAGACGAGACTGAAAACTAAGACCATAAAAGGAGAAGGGGTTGAACAGTCTCCTTGTAGCATCACACACTTCCCCAAAATCAATAGCCTAGGGTTTGACGACTTTCGACATTGATGCTGAACTTGATAGTTTAACTGGACTCGCTAAGCTGAAGGCACCCGGTCAAGCATCCTCGCCATTTGGCACACTGTCGTGTTACGTTGCATTGCTCGTATTCGACTCTCTAGCCAGTTAGTTGGAACGCATCGGTATTTTGGCACAACCATCCAAATATACTATTCCATCCGACTACGCTATCGTGTTCTTCCTTGGTCTCGTATTCGTGGGTATATAGCAATTTCGAATAATTAGTGATTGGTCTTTGCTTCTGTCAAGTTCGCAGCAGGACAAATCCTAAATCCTTTCGTGTACACAGATCAGCCTTCTCCATTTGAATGGCAAGAGCTTCGGTGATGCAGAGAATACGAAGACATACAACCTTTGGAAGGGTTATTTTCACTTTACAGATGACTTTCAGTGGGGAGATTCTTGAGGTAGGATGATTCGTATTCACAACGTGTTTAATTATGGCACACCTTATCACTCCATTCTTACCTCTTTCTAACCACGTGGGACTGTGTTCTTGAACCCCCTTCGGATAACAGTCATATCGAACGACCGATATACCTGACTGCACAAGAGCAGGTGAATTCATATATGCACATAAAAGTGGTCAGATGTAAAAGTTTCTCCTTTGAGTTGTTAGAAATCGTTGCGCGACAAGAGAATAGTAGTCTCAGGGTTGGTGCAAGGAATGTTCTTCTTAGAGTGTCAGCGGCAGAATCACCTTTGAAGTTAAGATTCATATACAGTGTCTTTTTGGCACAGTGATAAGGTTCTCTTTCTGAGGTTTAGGCTTGATGTGTTTGTCTATAAAGCGTAGTGGGAATCCGTTTTCAATCAGGATGTTCGTTAGAACAGAGATTTCCTCTTCTAATGAGTCGAGACTGCCGATCCGTCTAGTGGGGGTGGCAAGGGATATGATCGAATTTCGCCTACGACTCATGGGCACCCAGCTATTAAAGTTCGTCAGTTGACCATTCCACATTGGTTTCCTGTGAATTGACCTGCTTAACGTCCTATCAGCTGTTCTTGTCACCTCTACATCAAGAAAGTGAAATCTCGATCGATTTTCGACCTCAAGGGTGAATCTAATTGCTGAGTGGCAGCTATTGAATATTTGTTGAGCATGATGAAAAAATAATATTGATGACCACAGATAATAAAAGTATCGTCCGTGTACCTTTTGTACAGATGAAAACCTTCAATTGTTGATTTCAGCGGTCCGTTCTCCAAACTGGCCATAAAGCAGTCTGTTAGTAGTGGACCTAATGAGGATTCTATGGTGATTCCATCTTTCTGTCTATAAATCACGTTGTTAAATGTGAACTGAATGTTGAGTGTGCATCTAAGTAATAGTTCCTTAAGGCGAGATGTCGGTATCCGATATTTATGTTGTTATCTTCTATGTATCTGCATAAGAATGAGATAGTTTCGCAAGTGGAACATTGGTGAAAAGTCACTAAACATCAAGTTATATCATATATTTGTTATATACGTCTTTGTCTGTTATGCAATCAAATTATTCAAAAGTATCGCTTATCTCCTCCACTCCCCTCTTTTTTCTTTTCATCCTTCTGTTTCGACACTATTCACTGCTTAAGAAATTTGCTGTGTCCTATTATTATTATTATTATTATTATTATTATTATTATTATTATTATTATTATTTCTCCTCCTAGATTCCTAGTGGAACATAGGGTTTCAGTAGCACACCTCCATTGCACTCTGTTCTCTGCAATCTTTTGAACCTGTCTCCACAACTGCCCAGAAGCTCTCATTTCTTCCTCACACCGTCTCCTCCATGTTACCCTTACCTTGGACGCACAACTCGTCGTTTCCCCTTTGGGTTTTACTCAAGCGCCTGGCGCGCGATGTCTCCGAATGGTCTTCTCAGTGCATGCCCAATCTATCTCCACTTCCTTCTGCATATTTGTTGAGCGACAGGTTCTTAGTTGGTTCATTGACAGAGTGAGTTCTTCGTTGCTTATTCTTTCTTGCCATCTGATCTGGTCTTCTTTATTGAGTGAGCGTGGACAGTTGTTGATGAATATCTGTAGTTTATTGGAAATCCCTTTCGTAACGCGCCAAGTCTCTGAAGCATCACACAGAAGCACTGACTTGATTGAAGTTGGTGTTGAAAATCCGGATCTTGTTCCACATGCTGAGTGCAGTGCAGAAGATCTCCACACTGGTTTCAGGCTAATGAACGCCTGTCTTGCTTTTCCGATTCTGACTTTGACATCCTCGTCTGTGCCTTTGCCGCCTGTAGTTGAAACAGTGCTGCCCAGATAGGTGAAGGAGGTTACTTCCTTTAAGTTTCTCCCGTTGATGGTGATTGGAGTTTGTTGTTGTTGTGTTTTGGTGCGGTATCTTCATCACCTTTGTCTTCTCTATATTCACTTGAAGTCTCAGTCTTCGCTGCCTCTTCTACCAACTTGTTAGTTTTTGCCTGTAGATCTTCAAGTTTATGTGACATCAGGCACAAGTCATCGGTGGCGAAATCCAGATATTCTAGGTTCTTTTCCGAGGTCCAGTCGTATCCCCCTCTTCTCAGCTCCCCACTGTTTGCTGCATGATCTCGAGTCGACCACAATCAGGAATATCATGGGGGATAGTAGGCAACCTTGTTTCACTCCTGTCTTCACTTCAAAAGCATCACTGAGCTTTTGTTGTGAATTACTTGGCATGTGGCATCTTCATATAGTTGTTGAATGAGGCGGATAAAGGTTTGCGGTACTCCGTAGTAATGAAGCAGTTTCCAAATTACTTCTCGGTCGACGCTGTCAAAGGCCTTCTCGAAGTCGATAAAGTTGAGGTAGAGAGCTGATTGCTATTCTATGCTCTATTCTATGATGATGCGAAGCGTTGCAATTTGGTCTGCACATGATTTGTACTTCCTGAAGCTTGCCTGTTCCGGTGGTAGTTTTGAGTCCAGTGCATCCTTAAGCCTCTCCAGGATGATGCGGCTTAATATTTTGCTTGCATTGGGTGGACAGGAGAGTGATTCCGTACCAGTTCATGCAAACACTGAATAGAATCATGCTATCCTCATATGAATTATTATCAAGTGAAAATTTTATGATCATTAATAAAATCACCTGAAATTCACTTTAAACTTACAATTTCTATCTGTCATATCATAGAGAATGTTGTCTAGTTCAGATATTATTGAATTGTAGTATAGATTGTTTGAATTGATGATTGGTCTCTGTGAATATGAATATGAAATATAATAGGCAAGTTTATATTTCTGTTAGTATACTCTAAAGAATACAAGTAAAAACTTAATGAAATTTTGGTATTCTCATTGAAATAATAAGTAGACACTTTCATTAGATCAAAATATCTGATCACTTCAATAATTTTGTCGATAAGTTTATGAATATTGAAATCAGGTATATTAGACAAGGGATACATTGATAATATTTTCCCTTATCTATATGCAGAACTGCTCAATCCTATCTCCAGTCTAACTTGAAAGTAATAGTCTTTTTGGCCAACATCTTAGTAAAACACCAGTTCCTCAAAGCAGTTACTATTCTTACTAATCATTTACAAGTTGTACCATGTTTTCAATGTCTATTGTATAGTTTTCTGATGGCTTGCTGTCTCAGTCAATATTTGATATTTTCAGAATAGACAGTTTGATGGAGTAACGTAGAAACCTACTGTGTTCCTTAATCTTCTTCGAATCCTTGTATTTTTCAATAAAATCATAATTCCAATTGTGACATCGAAAACAAAAAATTTAGCGAAGAGGACTCTTATCAACTATTATATATTCTAAAGTCGTACATTCATACATATAATTAGAACACAAATAATTTACATATTTTAAATTATTATTCATCGAAGACTGACATCAGTTGGAGGAACAAAGGAAACCTGGGAGCACTGGACAGCTGTTTCGTCCTAGTATGGGACTCATTAGCAGTGCGCACCCACGACCCCACCAGCAGGGATCGAACCCGCGACCTTCAGGTTCCGCGGCCAGCGCGTTACCATTGAGCTAGCCACTGGGTCAGAATCCAATGCTCCATATTTCCAACTTCTGTTAGCTCACGATATAGCGCAAACCGCCACCCAATGTCATCGTTGAGTATTTGTCCTCACGACCATCAGGCTTTGACTCCACCGGTTACGACTTGTCATTGGAACTTGGGGAATACTTCTCGAAGCTAGTTACCAATGAGCACCAGTTTAATTAAATTTTTTTTGAGGGGGTTGTGGATGTCAGTCTTCGATGAATAACAACTTGAAATATTTCCAAATCTCCACAACCCCCTCAAAAATTTAATTTTAAATTATGTTAGGTAGGCATAGTTTGGCTGACTAATATTTATTCTGGGTGATGCTTGTAGGTAGAACATGGAACAGGATACCCGGTGGTCACGCGTGTTCAAATGTGTCCATAGTTGAAATTTTTCTTTCACCTTCAATCATTACCCAGTATAAATACATATATAAATCATACTATCATGCAGAAGATTAAATGATCAAATTTTAATTATAATTTCATATCTATTCATAAATGAATTCGCTGTAATTTCTGGTTGCCTATTAATATGTTAACGAGATTGATTTTAATCACTAAGTGTAGACACTTAATGAGAAGTTATTGAATGAATATTCATCTTTCATATTTACCTTTGAGTATAATGTATTTAGTCAACTTATCCTGCCTGTTGGTATACACTATCACTGAATTATATACAACACATTATCTTAATTTACTTTATCTTTGTACTGTTATTGGTAAGAAAGAAAAACTCAGCTAAATCTACGTGAATGATTCAATGAAAGTGAATCAGTTCAATTTACTATACTTTTCAACGGAGTTATATTGAAGTCGACAAATTGTATAAGATGATAGAGAGTAAATTAACTTAATTACTATTTCAACTTATTAATCATCGTAGACTGGGAACGAACCAACCAAGAACCTATCACCCAACAAATATGCAGTGGAAGGAAGCGGAGATGGATTGGGCATGCATTGAGAAGGCCGACTGGGGACATCACGCGTCAGGCCCTCAAGTGGAATCCCCATGAGAAGCGACGAGTTGGACGTCCGAGGGTGACATGGAGGAGGTCGTGTGAGGAAGAAATGAGAGCTTCTGGGCTATCGTGGAACCAGGTTCAAAAGATCTCAGAGAACAGAGGTCACTGGAGACGTGCTACTGAAGCCCTATGTTCCACTAGGAACCCAAGGGACTAATAATAATAATAAATAATTCATCATAAACTGACATCAGTTGGAGGGACAAAGAGAACTTGATTTAGTGGCTCAATGGTAACGCGCTGGCCGTGGAACCTGAAGGTCGCGGGTTCGATCGCTGGAGGGGTCGTGGGTGCGTACTGCTAACGAGTCCCGTACTAGGACGAAACAGCTGTCTAGTGCTCCCAAGTTTCCTTTGTTCCTCCAACTGATGTCAGTCTATGATGAATAACAACTTGAAATATTTCCAAATCTCCACAACTCCCTTAAAATTTAATTACTATTCTGTTGAATGCTTTCAATGCTTAGATGACATTTGTAGCTGGCTGTGTACTACTCAATAATTGATAGTTTTCATCGTAATAGAAGAATTATGGTACTTTGGTAACAAAATACAAATATTGAGTGGAATTTTATATTACAATTTGAAGAGAACCCAGAATTTCATTTTTTGTAATGTTTCTATAGAAACGAAAACCAGATGACTTTGTTTAGATGAAGCCAAGATGAAATACACAATAGCTGAATTTCCATAGCTAAATGCTTCTTAACAGAAAATGAAAATCTGATTCATTATTTTTCTCATCAAGAATGAGAAAATTTTGCACAATGATGAGTAGTTAGACGAACTACAGAAAATCCTTATACAAAATGGATACTCAGCCAGATTTATTGAGAAAAGAAAACAACTTGAAATTGAAATAATATGGAGCAAGTACTTACAGCTCTAAAGAAGACTTTATTGATGAATGTTGGTTACAAAGATAGTACAGTAGCAGAGATCCTGAAGAATCAACTGTCTAGATTGCTGATTAATTTCTCTAGTCATCAATTTGTTTCAGGGTGTGTTAAGGACAAGTTAGCGCTTTAGACTACATTAATGTATTTCTACAAAATTTATTTGCTCCTATGTAGATATTAAGATAGGCCACACGCAACGTGTACTTTCCAAACGTATCTCTGAACACTATCCTTTATTGTTGTCTAGTGGAGAATTTAAATCAGTTTAAAGTTCAATTCTTAAACATTTGGTCAAATCTGGGTACATAAATCTACCAGAGTCTTTTTTCTATGTCTTATGCAAAGTCAAAGGGAGTATTATTTTAACAGTTGTCCACAACCGAAGCACTGGCGACTCATCAATTCAACGTTGATCTCTGCATACAGAAGAAGTATGTCTTATCTTACCATGGTCTTAACACTTTCGCAAATTTTCGATCTGTCTATCATTACTTAGTTAGTTTACTATTATCACCATCATTATAACCCTTTCTTCCTTCTTCACCTTCTTTACATTTATCTATCATTTATTGTTATTTTTCCCTTGGGTTCCTAGTGGAGCATAGGGTTTCAGTAGCACGTCTCCATTGCACTCTCTTCTCTTCAGTCTTTTGAACCTGGTGCCACGACTGCCCACAAGCTTTCATTTCCCCCTTAAATGATCTCCTCCATGTCGCCGTCGCCTCGGACGCCCAACTCATCATTTCCCATTTGGGTTCCACTCGAGGGTCTGGCTTGGGGCATGATGTCCGTAGTCGACCTTCTCAGTTTATGCCCAATTCATCTCCACTTCCTTCGGCATATTTGTTGGGTGACAGGTTCTTAGTTAGTTCGTTGCCAGAGTGAGTTCTTCCTTGCTTATTCTTTTTGGCCGTCTGATCTAGTCTTCAGTATCGAGTGAGCGTAGGTGGCAGTTGTTGATGAATATCTGTAGTTTGTTAGAAATACTTTTTTATGACACACCAAGTTTCTGAACCATCACATAGAAACACTGACTGACTTGACTGAATTAGTGTTGAGAATCCGAATGTTGTTCACGCTTTGTGCTGAGTGCAATACATACATCTATCTAGTGGACACTTAATCTTTGCATTTCACATCTACCGACAGTTCCCATCACATTATCAAACTTTTTTATTAATACACAACTACATTTCATTGTTGATTTCAGTTTTTAACATTATCTTAATAATGGATTTATACCCTATTGTTGAATAATAACAAGTTATGTGTAAATACGATTGTACAGATTTAGATAATGATATCGTTGAGAGAGAAGACTATCTTCACTGAATTATCCCTTCAACTTTTTAACACTTATCTGTTTAGCAAAATTGTTCATTTAGTTGAAATTTTAAATTTTGTTTCCATGTAATGAAAAAAAAAGTGAATGGAAGAAGAAACATAAAACTTACTCGGTAGTATTCTTTTTCAATTGAATCTATTCCATACAATCTCAATACTTTTGTCTGTTTAATGATTAATTCACTTTGTAAAAATAAATTATTTATTGGAGCTTGTGAAATATATTCATCCCATATTAATCCGGTGACATTCAATAGAAATATATTTTTCCACTAAAAGATTGAAATTTTGAAACAAACATTTATTAAGACTAATATCTTATCGGTCACGACTTGTCATTGGAACTTCGGGAATACTTCTCGAAGCTAGTCACCAACCCCCTCAAAATTTAATTGAACTAGTGCTCGTTGGTGACTAGCTTCGAGAAGTATTCCCGAAGTTCCAATGACAAGTCGTGACCGGTGGAGTCAAAGCCTGATGGCCGTGAGGACAAATACTCAACGATGACATTGGGTGGCGGTTTGCGCTATATCGTGAGCTAACAGAAGTTGGAAATATGGAGCATTGGATTCTGACCAGTGGCTAGCTTAATGTAACGCGCTGGCCGCGGGACCTGAGGGTCACGGGTTCGATCCCTGCTGGTGGGGTCGTTGGTGCGCACTGCTTAGGAGTCCCATACTAGGACGAAACAGCTGTCCAGTGCTCGAGGTTTCCTTTGTTCCTCCAACTGATGTCAGTCTGTGGTGAATAACAACTTGAAATATTTCCAAATCTCCACAACCCCTCAAAATTTAATTGAACTAGTGCTCGTTGGTGACTAGCTTCGAGAAGTATTCCCCAAGTTCCAATGACAAGTCGTGACGGTGGAGTCAAAGCCTGATGGCCGTGAGGACAAATACTCAATAATATCTTATCACTATATATATATATATATATATATATATATTATATATATATATATATATATATATATATGGGGTTGTTTTAGCCTGTTCACTAATCTGTAAAGATGCTAAGAGAAAAATATATCACTGAAAGATATAAGAAGTTATCTCATGATAGAGATATATCTCTAGAAATTCCAAACAATTAGTTCTCTTCATAAACAATATGAAGACATAAATTGTTTGAACTGTGAAATGTATTTGCTCAAAACATTTCGAACAATCTAATCACTTACGTACGCATATCATAGATATTTCTATGAAACTTGTATACTCTAACAAACCGTTACAAAATATGAGCAATAATGTCACATTTCATCGTATCTACCAATTCGAGTGTACATGCGATGACACATACATTGGCGGGACACCTAGATCCATGCAAGTAAGAGGGGTCAGAGAATATTCCAAATTGACTTTAGAAGAAAATTGAATCAAATGAATTCATAAACGTTTATATAAGACGTTCAAGTTCTTTGATTACAAAACATATCACTGAGATTGACGTTACCATGTATCAAGGCCATTAGTTATTAGAAAGTTTAAACCACATTTTTTGTGTGTTCAAAAACAATTTCTTATCATATTTAATCTCCCTTGGTGAATGATGTCACTGAGTTGGGGAATGACGTGGGTTCTAATAATACGCGAAGAGATAATCACCCAACGAGATACTTGGATTGGATACGAGTAATACGACTGTTCTCCCCCACACCCTAGACTTCACTGAGCTACAAAATCAGAAGACAAAAACGGACTGTGACTGCAAGAACAACAACCTTATTAGACAAATTATATATATATATATATATATATATATATATATATATATATATATATATATATATATATATATATATATCACCCTCAGAAATCAAATCAACATAGAACCTCGCACAGAAGTGCATCGGTTCAAGACGCCAACACTTCACAGGATTTGCTTGATTGTGGTTAGCAGAGAAATCTAGGACTCGCGTTTCCTGCTATATGGGACTCGTCAACTGGATGTACATGAACCCCAGTGAGTGATGTTGTTCCTACTAAGACTGGAACCTCGTACCCATCGCTTCGAATGCCAAGGCGTTATCCACTATGCCACGGAGGCATGATAGTCACTGTTTGTGCAACGGGTAGAAGTTATTACTATTTATTGATGTACTTATAGTTCTCCGATGTTGTTTCTTATATTACATCGAATTGTTCTACCTCTATTAGCATATGGGCTCTTATGTGGATGCTTCAGTATTCCCTAGATGTTAATTATGGTGGCATAGTGGATAACTGCTCGGCGTTTGAGGCGATAGGTACGCAGTTCGAGTCTCAGTGGGAACAACATCACTCACTGAGGTGCAGGTACCCCCAACTGATGAGTCCAAAGTGGTACGAACTGCACATCCTGGATTCTTCTGCTAACCACAACCAACCAAATTACCATAATTAACATTCAGTCAATATCAAGGCATCCGCATAGTAGCCCATATGCCAGTAGAGGTCGAACAATTCGATCCAATAAAACATCGGAGCACTAGTATATCAATAAATAGTAATACTTCACAGAAGTATACAAAGAACAAGTTCACAGAAATAGAGTGATATCAAAGTAGACAATATTGTATGAGAGAATAAACAATTTGAACATAAAGGTTAGTGCGAATACTCAAGCATCAGAATAGTGAGTACATCTGCCCCATTGTGACAGGTTTTCAGCCATGCCACCTAGAGTTCTCAACTACTGCCTTTCATTGTCTCGAGACAGGGGCCGGATAGTCGATATCTTCCCACACAGCTTAGACCAACAGTCAGGGACTTCATAGGTTGGTACCAAGTCTTCGTCTGGCCACCCTGAACCCTCTTCCAACTTTCTCCAGCATGGCACGTTGAGGTAGGCGACGGCGGCTCACCATGCGCAGTACGTGTCCAAGGCATCTCAGTCAACTAATGTTCACAACCTCATCAATCGACTTCCCTAATACCCTTCGCCTGATCTCAACAGTGTTCACACTGTATTCCACCAAACACGAGCAATACTGCGAAGACATCTATGATCAGACACGTATAACCGCTTCATGTCTCCTACTTTTAACGGTCATGCCTCATAGTCGTATAACAGGACAGAAAGGACTGCAGCGCAGTATACTGTTCCTTAAATCGGTAGTCAGATGTTCATCAGTCGGTGCCACAGGTGACGCAAGTTGCGTCCTGGTTAAGATTTTGTCAGCAACCGGCCCATTCGGGTTGATGGGACTCCGTAATTGGGTGAAGTGCTCGACACATTCCATCACTTCACTCCCTACCATTAAACTGGGAGTAGTTGCAGACCAGTCCTGGAGCATCAACTTGTATGTGAGAGGCTCGAGACTCATGCCAAACATACTCAGATTTCTACTGAATGCGTTCGCAAGGCCCTGTATTTTGTCAACATCTTCACCCAACAGGACAAATTCGCCTGCATGCTCCAAGTCAACCAGGTGACCCCCAAGGGGTAGATCAATCTGTGTGAAGTCAGACTACCTAAGGGTGTTCTCATCAGTAACAAAGTTAAACAGGAACGGTGACAACAGGTGGTTGTGACGACAACTCTCCATAATCCCTCACACGGCTGCGTGTGTTCGAATGGACAACTTTGATAAGCGTTATATACTTGATCGGTACTCCCTTCATAGTCAGACATTGCCATTACACCTCAGGATCAAAAGAGTCAAATTCCGCCTTCAACTCAACAAATGACGAGTGTCTGCCGATGGTAGGTATATCTGCATTTCAGAACATGTCGGAGAGTGAAAATATGATGGATACAGCCTCGACCAAGTGTGAAATTTGCCTGATTTTCTCGAGTTCCAGTTATGCATCGGTTGACTATGATGGACCTTAGAATCTTGGACACAATATTAGTGAAATAAATTCCTTTATGGTTGTCACAAGAATATCACTCCCTCTTCTTATAGACTGGGATGATGAGTGAACTAGGGCAGTTTGACGGGACTACATCAGATTTCAATGGACGACGTAGTACTTCTGTCACTCCTATCAGCAATTTCCTACCTCTATCCTTGAAAACGTCAGATAGCAACCTGTCAGGTCCTGCTGCTTTGCGTTGTTTCAGGTTCTCAACTTAAGGAGAGTGGGAGAACCGGCATCTGCTTTGGATTCATGTTCAGGTTAGATGTTGGGTAACCGAAGCATTGTAGTGAGGCAGTTGAACTGGGTTTCAAAGTGTTCAACCTGACGTTCTAGTTGCCTGTCCTGGTATGTTATCGGCGTTCTATCTATCCTTTTCGGTGGTGGTTTCACTCACCATCGTCTTATTCTTACCGGTATCCTGATAAGCCTAAATAGTTTTTCGAGTGTTACCCAACGCTGATGCTTTCTGCATCTCTCCTGCTTTCGCTACCCACCACTGCTCGCGATCGACGCGAAGCCTCTTGGTTAATTTACGTTTAGGTTGTTTTCGCTTTTTATCGTCGTCACAGCCAGCTGGAATAATTTTCCCAGCACCAATCAATACGGGTGACGTCGCGGAAATGCCATGACAAATGCTAACCTTCGGGTATAAGTTACCAAGCGTCTTTACTGCTGTTTTTACGTCAAACTCAATATCATGCCAGGTTTCCTTAAGATGAGTATTGCTGTCATGTTCAGATAAGTGCTTAGCTGTCTCCCTAAATACGTACTTGACGATCTGCTCTCTTAAACAAGCATAGACACGCCTTACTGTCGCTTCTTTTCTGGGCCCAGTTAGATGCAGAGATGCATGATCCGGTACCAGCACATGATTGGAGCCCCAACACGTACTCCAGAAAGAGTGGAAATTCTCGATAGATTCTTTCAAACGATGGGTTATAACAGTATGATCTATCTGTTCCCATCGTTGGTTTGTTGTCAGCGGGTGCCATATGAGTCAGTGTCTCTCTATCTGCTTAAAGTTAGTGCAAGCGAGATACAAGCGATTGTTAGGACAAAATTCCAACAGACAATCACCGTTGGCATTGTATTGCGTAAATACTTCTCAGATGCCTTTGCGACTGGCTCAGCTTCCCTACTTGTACGTTAAAGTCACCTGTCATTATGATTGTATCAGAATGTTTTGCTTTCTGTAGAAAAATTGACAGGTTCTCATAGAATTCATCGTTTGCATAAACCTAACGGGAGTCAGTGGGTGCGTATTTTGGGGAGTCACAATTCTTCCTACTTCTTACAGATGCATTCAGTAGAACAGTATATAGACGGCTAGTGACTTTACACTGTTGAGAAGCGCACTTTTGATTCTACAGCTCAATGCTACGTATACACCAGCAAGTCCATAACAGCTAACCATTGGGTTTCCGGATACCCACAAGGTGAATTTTGAAGATTCGCTGCACTGGTCAGGTGAGGCCAATTTAATAATCACACTTGGGTCTTGTATACGTATCTCAGAGACACAACATATCCATAGCCTGAAGTTGCAGAGTTTTGGCGAGCAATGCCTACTGTTCTATGAGCATAGAGTTTGGACGTTGAAAGCTCCTACATGAAATCGATGGTGGGGTCTTAAGTAAGTGACTAGGGATGAGGCTTCGATGGCTTTGATCGCTCATAATGGTCTCAGAATGAGATGTTGGGTAAGGTGTAAGAGGCTTAGTATTAGTATCAGGAGGTGAAGGTAAAGGAGGAGACAGAGCGGGGAGGGTAGGTTATGTTTGACTGGGTTTCTTGTACTATTGAAAGCGTGCGGGAAGTTGACACTTCGTGGCTGCACACACGGTTAGAGGCTATTTTTTTTAATGTACCTAAAAGGGGACGGGTTTTATGTGGTCGAAGAGCCTATGGGACATCTGCTTAAGGCTGTCACATACGGCCTTTTGTGAGTTGTTTTTAGGTTTGGTTGTTCAGACGCCTGAGGGAGAAAATCTATGACGCCGGCACCGTAAGACCGTGGGGTGTGCTGACCTTTTCTAACCCCTGTTTCCATTGGAAAAGGAGCCTCAGTGTGGCACTGTCGGTCATCCGAGGGAAACACTTTACTACTGTCACATCATTCAACTAGCAGCAGTACGACTTCGCCCTCGAAACTCCATCATAGTGTGATAATTTGCATTCCGAGGTGACTGCTTTCCGTCCTGCCGCTATCCAACAGACCTCTCTGGAATCGTAGAACTTTGAGGTAACAAGTTTTCCAGCCAGTGTAGCTCGTTGGGTCATTGTGATATGCAAGCTCGACCACCACGTCAAGGTAGTAGCTATAGGCTGGGCGACGTTAAAGACATGAAATAACTTCATTTACAGTAACCTGCAAATATTTCTGTCTAAAACGAGAAAACCCTTTGAAAACGAGTGTATTGACTGTAACTCTAATGGTCTTCAACAGTATAGCAAGTAGATATCACGAAAAAAGGAGATATCGATGATTATATTTGATCCAATGAAATGTTCGTTATTTAAAACAAGATGGAGTTGGCAGAGATTCTCTGACATGAATTTATATCACATCATGTGACATTAGAAATGACCAGCTGTTGCTCATACAAGACCAGCAGTAACTAAAATAAAATATTACTAAGCCTCGATTCTAAACAGATCATCGTAGAGCCATGGACCGAAGTGCATCAGTACAGTTTCTTGAAAGTTCTTACTGCTGACTGGGATCATATATCGTGGTAGGAAGTAGTAATTCTAGTAATCATGAAAGCCCTGCGCGTACCTCATTTCAAATAATTTCGAGATAAACTCACCTAATCAATATCGACATAGGACCAGGCGTTACTGTCCAACGGTCCAAGTTACCACAACTTTTATCAACACAAGTAACAGAAAAACCAGTCAAATGAGGAATGCATACTCTTGAGGAAAAGAAGATTGGTCTGGGCTTGGTGTTGTCTCTCTGATGTCCAATCCTGATGAGGTTATCTTGTGACCGTCACGTTGCACGTTTGCTTGAGTTGGCTGATGGATGACTTTGTAGACCATAATAAATTCACCCTCTTTCAGTAATAGCCTAAAATGACTAGGTTTAAGTATTTCAGTCCGACAGAGCATGTCTTTATATTTTTCAAATGAGATTGGAGTCGCTTTTAAGTGTTAAGGACTTCCAGATGCGGCAGTAAGTATGATTCCGAAACCGTGAGAAACAGTTCGGGGGTGAGAGCACTGAGCTTTCTACACAGAAACTGTAAAGTAACCTTCGCTATGGCTGCCATTCCTTGCTAATCAGAGCTGGTGATTAGGATGTCCAAAAAGTTGAGCTTGGATCCTTTTTTGGATACTTCTGTGATAACACAGCTAATAAATTTGTATTCGAATTCGGTCGTCCTTGCTTCATGGGTACTGACGTGCATACGTCTATCATGCAGTATAAGGGGTATACACGACTGTGGAAAGGAGGTATAGATATATATATGTATAGATATAAAGCCTAGGCAACAGTCAGTAGTCAATGTGAAATGAGTTTGTTTCTTAAGTGTACAACTGTCGGAGAAACAAAACACTTACTTTCAAATTGCAGGTCATTGGGATGAAGAGACGCTCACCAATTACTGTAAGGTTCGCAGTAACCTTCAGATCGATAGAAATCTCGAAAGCCTTATCTATCAGCTCACCGGCATCCTTTGCTGGGAATGGGGAGAGGTATTGGTGAGTAAAGTGGCTAATGGAACCAGGTAGCAATTGATATTCATTCCTCAAGTTATTCAGTAAACTATCCGAGACTGACCAAAGCTTAACGTCAATTTGATTCTTAGCATTCATCAGATAAATCCATAAAATGGCCTGACTAACTTCAGGAGAGCATGGACCTGTAATCACACGAATGTATCTGAAAAACGGCCAGATATCTAATAAGCAGTTGGGAAAATTAACTTTAGGGTACTTACCTTTAACATTAGACAAAATAATAACTGGTGCAAAGAGAAGAATAAATGCAGTAACGAAATAGAATAAGGATGTTTTTGAAAATATTGTGGTTTTGAAGATCTTTTCTTCCGGATGGTGAAAAATTTCAACCATCGCGCTTAAAGTGAGCGGCTAGCGACGCATTATTAACCAGTCCGAAGGAAAAGTCAAACCATACTATTTAATATGTTCTATATTAACCTTCCTACTTTGTATGAGATGACTGATTTCCCCACGCTTGCTCCAAAGTCCCATGAAGTGATTTAAGACTTCTGGTCGATCCCAATGCAGCATATCCAGCCATCTCTTTGCTTCAGCTCGGGTAAACCGGACGGGTATTTGATCCAGTATCTGTTTAATGAGCTTGCGTAAACCAAATGATTTCTTCTTGCTCGCCTCTTGGTCCTGCAGAACGGTCACAGGTCTTTGGCAGATTCCGATACAGTAGATCAAGCCACTCGTCTGCTATAGCTGTGGTACACATGACAGGATGTTAAGTGATGGTTAGTTTGCCCTGGACTGTGGTACAGTTGGCTTCCCGAGATATCAGGTTGCCAGACAGTTGTTCGAACTGGTCGTTGGAGAGGGCTAGAGATATTGAAGAAAAAACCTAAAACGGAAAATTTGTGTGGGTTAAAGAGAAAATAAAAGTGAACTAATGGGGTAATCTACTTACACAAGGTGCGGCAAAAGAGGTGGAAAGATATGAAGAAAACTAGTTGTAGAGGTAAAATAGTTGGAATGGGGTGACATCAGTTGATTTCTTTTGCGTAGTCCGAGTTCCAGATATATGTTGTTTAGATTTTCTAGCAGAGGTATGACTTGTCCTAGGACTGTGGCGGGGATTGATTCCCCAGGTGTTGAGTCACTAGACATTGTCCGGACTTGTAGCGAGAGAAAGATGGGAAGAGTGATAACGTAACCGAGAGGAATGAACGAGAAAATCAAAAGTACAGGAAGTTATATGAAATGGAGGGAAAAGTTTATGTAAACCCAGGGAAGGTGGAAAGACACCAGTGATATTCGGAAATTTTTTGAGTGGAGTTAACTCTTGTAGGGTCAGGGAGTGGGAAGGAGGTAGGAGAGGTCATATTTGTTATGATGGAAATAGACATAATGTTAGTAGCCACATGACTACTGGAGGTGTGAGGCGCCTTATTGGAAAGTCTGGCTTCAGGTAAAGCCCTGTAAAAACAGTCGTGGTGGACGAGAATTGGTCTGGCGACAATAGCGTTGGATTCACGTGACGTCAGTTCCTTGCATCGGCTAGTCCGCGTCCCACTTGCACGAACACAAACTATGTGTTAGAGTCCCACCCAAAAGTTTTCTTGACGCTATGGTCTATCAAGTGATGGCCCCCTCGGGAGGTAGTGTACTCCATTGGAAGTAGGCTCAAAGGGCGAAATGTGAACGCACAGGGTATTCCGTTTTTCACTGGGCAATTTTTTGTGGGTTTCAGTGGGCTGCACCACAGTGACTAACTGCTAATATCTCACTGTTAGAGTGACTAGAATTACCGGGTGCCTTGTGGGCTGTTATCAAGTCATCATCTAACCTAAAGGAACTAAAGAGCCATGCCCTTAACCTTTTTAACCGCTCACAGGGTTTTTGCCGCGTCGTCACAACAAACACTGAGGCTAGTTACTGGACAATGTATGCCTCAGAAAGAGCTCTGGGTTAGGGTACCTAGTTGTCTACTCAGCAAGTTTGGTGCTGCGTATGCGCCGGATGCACCTAATGGATGATTTAGACTGGTGCGGATGATTCAAATTGGAGGTTGGTTAGTAACTTGCGTTACATTTACTCGTGGTCTGTTAAACTGTAACTCTGACGTTACCAATCGTTCGATTTAGTACTTTTGAACACCAAAAGTTACGACTCTCCTGCATATCGTGGCATTTTATGTCGGTACTCTTCGTGGTTTAGTAGATCTCCAGTCTGTACAGAAGAAAGATTCGGGGCGCATATCGCTTCTTTTTCTCATGAAGTCAACTTTCTGAGCATCATACCCCTCCTCTGGAACGTTAAAAAACATTCCTTTCAAGTGACACCCATTTAGATACACACAGCAAGACACAAGAAACTACTTCTGAGAAAACAGGGGAACCAAAACGAAGACTAGCTTGAGGAGAAGTTATTTGTCCATTTCACCTTATTTAACCAAGAACCAACGCTGTTAACTTCCAGACGTAGCAGTTTTGCAACATACTTTGCCCTAACTGTAAAGAAACAGTTTCTAATAACTATCAAATTAGATACATAAGCCGCTGCTAAACCTTCTGTCTTCGGTTATTTTACCTGTTCTTCGGTATTAACGAACCCAATAGATGTGTAACTACTACTGCTCCACCATGGTCCAGCCCAACAAACGTATGTGTGCTGCGCACACACGTAAACCTAATCCTAGCGTCTCAACTGAAAGAGCACGTTCACTAACTGGTTCCACATCAAGCCCTAGAAGAGGCCTTGAAGTTAAGGTACTCCAATTGATACCGAGCTATATGATACTTCGCGTAAAATTAGGGAAGATTTGATAACCTTGCAGAAGTCACTGCAAGAAATGAACGCTAAGCTTGAAGTTATCTTGCTACTGCTGTATCTTTTTCAGCCTGACCTGAGAACCAATGCTGGAACCCTATTGAAAACAGAAAGTGTCGTAGATTGCGTAGCTACAGAGGTTAATAAAGAATTATGTCGTCATATAATGTGTCGATATACAACATACCCGACAGCGAACCGATCAAACAACTAAAGGCAGGCTTGTAACATGTCTTCTGCAGAACGCCAAGTTGTCCGTCTTCGCAAGAAGTTGGAGAAATATACCTGCCCCTGGTTGTTCAAATTTAGTAGCCCTTGCCACGTCAGACACTTCTTATCATCCAATCAGCTTATTAGTCTGTCCACACCATATAAAAGTGTCAAACTTTCACAAGACTTAACACTTTATTAAAGGCGTAATCGCATGAAAATACTAAAAGCTGTAAGCTGTAGTCAGGCTGCGGTGCCCAAAGCAGCAACACAATCTATTAGTGAACTGGTTACTGTACCGAAACAATGGATTTGGGAACATCAAAGTTTCCAAAGTGGCCCACTCACACACAGACGTAGTAGAGCCGATGACACGACGGTAGACCCTGACAAATCGATGAGCTACACTCGAAAACAGGCACACGATCCTTCAAGGGCTATCTTACTGCCTACAGAAGTGAAAAGCCAGTCCCCGTTTCACCCCGTCACACAAGTCACCACCAGACCAAGTGCTACGCTATCGATCCAACAAGATACCGAAGATACTACTATGTCGACACCAGGGGTTACTCAGCCTATAAACATACCCAGCACCAGCCACAAGAACCCTGTTACCATGGGACCGTCCCTGAGCCTAGCACGTAAACAGTCTAATCTACTCCCACACCAGCCAGTGCATAACTTATATGCATCAAATGGGCAGATGACAAAGGATATAGATGGCATTAGACACTTTTACACCAACCTTACCATGCACCCGCCCAGGTTAATCAAACTGCCGTAAGGTAAACTAAGTAGCCAAGCCGATAGACGAAAAAGCAATTGGGATAACCAAAACGCCATTGCACCCTCGCGAAGCCACACTAAGAAACATGCCGAACGTTATTTCTCAGTTCACCCTATGACCAGGCCAAATAACTGCTGTCCGGGCTATCCACATTTAACATTTCCGCGGCCACCAGCTAACAAACACCACGGCCAGACCTCTCAGCGGTTACAGTTATTGGATAGTGGGCCGTATGGTAGTCACAGACTATGCTCTCCGCTTCACCCATATGCCGCAAAACGTGGGTCATATGCCACTCAAAGACAAACTTACAACAGATCCCCTGAAGAAAATTTTGGGGAATATGAACTTGGCTATGACCATAATGTATACGGCAGCCAGTGGGTAGGTGTGCCATACAATCTATCAGCCCCCGTTGCTTCTTATGAGCAGGGTTTTTTCAGGCGGGCCACAGCTGCAACGCCACCAGTAATACAAGTGACTCGGGTGTTGTCAGATCATCTGCTCTCTGCCTTGACCAGCAGTCTCTAAACCAATCACAACGTGGTGAATACTTTATTCCTCCTGAGCCAAACAGTAGTGAATCGTCGTTCCTTGCAAAAGATCATGACACGGCTAGCACGATGCACGCAAAGGACCCACAAGGAATGTACCTAGGTGCTGACTTTTTTAGAGACATATCCAAACACTTTTGTGCTCTTAATTCTCCCTTTTTTGCCTGATTAACGCCCGCCCTGTACGCAACAAAATGAAAGAGATAATACCGCTATCTCTTATTTGTAATCCGTCCGCGATAATGGTTACAGAAGCATGATGTCCCTCTGATATTTGTGACACAGAGATCTCCATCGACAACTATTCTTCATTCAGGAGAGATAGGCTGTAAGGGAGGAGGGTGCATTACCTACATAGAGTCCTACATCACTGCTACACAGTGCCCACCCTCTGAGCTAAACGAGACTGACGGCTCAGTATGAGTTATCGCCAGACTCACTCGCTCCACATCCCCCCAATAGGGTGCATTTACCAACCCCCTTTCCCCTCAGTCGAATGTGACGAGAAGCTGACAAGAGTGTTCGTTCGTGCGACACCACACAGCGAAAATTATGTGTGGTGACCTTAACATGCCAGATATAACATGGCAACCAGTTAGCTACCCGAAGCGCTTCGATAAATGTATAAGCATTTTTGAAACAGAGGGTTGGCAACAACATGTGGAACACCTTGCCAGGCACAGTAGTGCCCTGGACCTGGTCTTCACAAACAGAACCACGCCCATAAAACTTCAAGTAGGTACACAGTCTCCAGGTAGCGATCACAAGATAGTATATGGATACCTCAACATATCCAGCACAAGATTGGCCCAAAAGCCGGGAACAGTTCTAACTGGAAACTGCAAGTATGCCAAATGGGACGAACTACAATCGTTTTTGAGTTGCCTAGATTGGAACCCCTACTTTACCAACAGTTCAGCCAAAGGATTCTGTGATCCATTTTATGAATATATAAACACAGCTGAAGACTATATTGCCCCACCACTCTAAAGAGAAGTTAAGAAAAACAGAGTTGACTGTATACCTACGAAAGTGCGCGAGCGC